TAGCAGTGGAAATGAAACTCTAGTATAGACAAGAGAGTGCTAGATTTGGGGTCAAAAGGCCTGAATTTGAATCATGGCCCCAACATTCCCTGACAGAATCTCAGAATTGGAAAGGGATTTCAGGGGCCATCTAGTCCAACCTGTACCTGAACAAGAATTCCCTATGTAATAAATCTGACAAATGGTCATCCATTCTTTGCTGGACTTCTCATGGAAGGAACTGCCATCCCCAGAGGTAGTCTCTTCCTCTTTTGGATAGTGCCAGTTTTTTCAAGTGTTTCCTGGCATCTTTTGGGGGCCAGGCAGAGCAAGTCTATCCCTTTTCCAAATGACAGCCTTTCAAATACTTGAAGATAGCTGTCTTTCCCCCCTAAGTCTGCTCTTTTCCAGGCAAGATGTCCCTACTTCCTTCAGACAGTTTTAATTATGGCATGATCTTGAGGCCTTTCACCACCCTAGTTAATCTCCTCTGGGTACATTCCACCATATCATATCTTTCCTAAATATAGTACCTAGAACTGTACACAGTATTATGGATGTGGTCAGACCAGAGCAGGGAGTACAGTGGAACCTTCACTTCCCTAGTCCTGGAAACTGTTTCACTTAATGCATCTTAAGATCAGATTTTTTTTTTTGGCTACAGTGTCACAGTACTGACTGCTGTGTCAGTATTAACATACTGAACTTGCAGTCCACTAAAACCTCCAGATTGGTTTCAGAAGAACCGCTATCTAGCCAAGCTTCTTCCATATTGTACCACTACGAAGTTATTTTTTTTATCTTGTGTAAGATCTCTTCCAATTCTGACATCCTGATATCTAAATAACTTTATAGTTACCTTTCCTAAATTCCATCTTAATGGTTTTATTCAATAGCCTACAATTTTAGCCTGTTGAGATCTTTTTTGGATTCTGACTCTGTCATCTAACATGTTAACTCTCCTCCTAGTTTTGTCATATAAATTTGATGAATATCACTGATGACTATAATCAAGTAATTGACCAAAATTTTAGAGAGAATAGTCCCAAACACAGATCCCTAGACCATTCCATATAAAACTCCTTCCAGATTGACATGAAATCATTAATGACTAGTCTTTCAAACAGTTCCTTTGTAGGATTTCTGGATAATTATTCTGTACTTCTGTTCTTTTGACCAAGACTAGAGACAGATTAACATGGTAAAGGAGGTAGAGGCAGTGTGGTATGTTGGAAAGAGTGTTGGACTTGGAATCAGGAGACCTGGATTTGAATCCCAGCTCCAGTACTAACTGTGTCACTGGGAAAATGTGTCTTAGAAAATGACAATAATTGTTGCATATAGATTTGTGGACCCCTCAAAATAAAGATGGCCCCCAGATCAAGAACTATGGGGCCAGAATTATGAGACAGATCAAATAAGATGAGATTTAGTAGAGGTAAATGTAAACTACACCTGTGATTTTTAAAAAGTCAACTATAGAAGTACAGAATATAGGAGGTATAGATAATCATCAGTTCATATGGAAAAAGACTTGGGAATTTTAGTGGCCGGTAGGTGACGCACTAGATAGAATCAGGGCCTGGAGTCAGGACGACTTATTCAGGTCAAGCCTCAGACATTTACAAGTTGTGTTACCCTTGGCAAATCACTTAACCTCTGTTTGCCTCAGTTTCTTCAACTACAAAATGGGGTTAATATCACCTACCTTACAAGGTTTTGTGAAGATCACATGAGACAGTATTTGTAAAGTGCTTGCTCAGTGCTTGGCACATAGTAGGCTCTACATAAATGCTAATCATCATCATCATTATTATTATTAGACTTTAAGCTTGATATAAATCAACAATGTGACATATCAGTCAAAACCTCATGCATTCTTAATCTACATTGAAGAATAGAGTATCTACACTCGAGTAAAAGAAGTACTAGTTCCACTGTACTCTGCCCTAGATACTACATTTGTGAAAAGACATTGATAAATTGGATGACATCCTATTAAAGGCCACCATGATTGTGAGTAGACTCACAACCTGGACATAAAAGGGTAAGTTGAAGGAACCACAAATATTTCATCTTGGAAAGAGAAGGCTTGGCCATGTTGAAATACTGGAAGGGCTGTCATTTAAAAGAGGGATTAGATTTGTTTTGTTAGGCCTTAGAGGACAGAACTGGAAGCAGTGGGGGAAAGTTGCCAAGATATAGATGTTATCTTGGTATAAGAAAAACCTTGCCAGAAGTTATGGTTGTCCAACAGTGAAATGAGCTCCCTCAAGAAATAGAGATTCCCTATCACTGGAGGTCTATAAGCAGAGGCTGGCTGATTGTTAAGTAGAGATGTTCTAAAGAGGGACTTATGATTAGGGAGAAGAGGCAGACTCTGACTTTTTCAAGTGCCTTTCAATGCTAAGATTCTATGGTTGATTCTAATTATGATACAGAATGATACTCTAGTGTGTAAAAGAGTTAATAATTGTGTTTTACTCTCCCTAACAGAGTGGATATAGAGTTAGCCTTAGAGCCAGGAAGATCAGGGTTCAAGCCCTGATTCTGACTTACAGATCACTAGCTGTGTGATGCTAAGCAAGTCACTTAACCTCTCAGTGCTCTGGGCAAGTCTCTAGGACTGTAAGTTGCAGAGGTATCTCTCTGCCCTATTAGAGGGGGTTCCCTATGCCTCTGTTTAAGTCTAGCCTCTGACTATATTGGCTGTATGACCCTAGGCAAGTTACTTAATTTTTCAGAGATCCAGGACACTCTCTAAGACTGTAAGTTAAAGAATGAAGTTGTCATTGTGCTGTAGTAGAGAAAATGTCCTCACCCAGTTTCCTGTGCCAAAGAAATCACAAGGCTGGGCCAAAAAAGAGGGGGGAAGGAATAGTGAGAGAAGGAATAGGTAGTCATATTGTAGATAGAATGCCAGCCAGCTTTGAGAGTCAAAAATCTGGGTTCCAGTTCTTCCTCTGACATCTGCCACGTGTCCTTGGGCAAGTCTCTTAGTTTCTCGGTGCCCTGGGCAGTCTTTAAACTATCCATACCAAGGAGTTTTCCACATTGATAAAATCAAAGATCAGAACATTCGTGTGTGTGTGTGTAGGTATACAGTGGAAAATAATATTGATCATGGGTCACATTCAGGCTTTATAGAAACCAGATTTTGAGAGGTTGGGCAGTGGGATGGCTTACATTATAATGAAAAAATATGGTAAATACCAACCTACTATGATTCTCCGAAAGTGTCACCATAGTGGCAGACAAATCAATGAGATTAGGCTGGGATTTAAGAGATCCAGCACCTAGTTTGCTATGTTTCTCTTTCACAGTGCTGCCGGAGGCTACCAAGAAATATTTAGGGCACCTTTTGGAACTGAGCCAACCCCCAATCAGAACTTTCTGAAGGTTCGTCTGGCGGCTGGTTCAGTTAAACACTTCTCTAACATACATGTTCTATGTGACATACTCAACCTCCTCCCCCCCCAAAAAAAACTTTCCTATTTCTGTCAAATGCCCCACCATTCTTTCATTCCTTCAAATTCATAACCTGGATTCCTCAGGCTCCCTCACCTTGTGTAGTCAGTTACCAAATCTTGCTATTTCTACCTCTACAACATCTCTTGAATCTGACGCTTTCTCTCTGCTCACAGTTACTACCTTGGTGTTCAGCCCCTCACCACCTCTCTCCTAGATTATTACAATAGCCTCCTAATTGGTCTCCCTACTTCAGGTCTTTTAACTCCAGTGCATCTTCCACACTGCTGCCAAAGTGATTTTCCATAGTGCAGATCTGATCTGGTCATTCCTCTACCAAAATGTGGTGGTTCTATACTTCCCCAGAGTCAGATAGGAACTTCTCTGCCAAGTATTTCCAAGACCTTCACCACCTGGCCCTAAGCTACCTTTCCAGGCTCACTGTACATTATTCCCTGTCCAGCACTCTGTGACCCAGCCACATTTGCTGCCTTGTCTATGACAAATTTGTTCCTCTTATATGGCACTCTTGTCTCCCCTCATCACACCTTTACACTCACTAACCTATGCTTGGAATGCCCTCTCTTCTCACCTGTACCTCATAAAATTCCTCTTCTGTCAAGACTTGGCTTAAGCATTCCTTTCTCCAGGAAGCTTTCCTCTCAAACTACCCAGGGTTTAACTATTTTGTATTTATTTGTATTTGTTCTCTTTATATTTATTCTGCATATATTTCTATATGTGCCTGTCATCTCGCTGGTAGAATGCTAGCTCTTTTAGAGTAGGGATTATAGTATAAGTCTTTGTAATTGTATACACAGCCGGCAGCATAATGTCTGATGCATAATATGTGCTTAATAAATGATCTTTAATTAATTAATGGATGTGCATTAAGGATATGTGTGTGTGTATATATAGATATTATATCTATATATACACACATATACATATACACATACGTTAGGTGATGTATTCACTTATTAGACTGTACATTCCATTCTAATCTAAACTTTATCTCCTAGCACTTAGCATATTGCTTGGCACACAGTAGGCATTTGATAAATGTTTCTTTGAATTGAGTTCTAGGACATTTCCAGTCTATAATCTACTCCAGAGGAGTTGACAGCCTGTTTTGCTAAAGATGTTTCATGATCCTATTTTCAGGGGCATGTGGGCTGGTCATCCATCTCCATACTATCTCAGTGCTGCTTTCAAGAATGTTTGCCTCCCATGATCTCTTTCCAAATTTAAACAGAGGAACACTTTACTCCCACCCACCCCCTACCAAGAAGAGTCAGTGGGGCCTGCCCCTGTTGTGAGAGTTGGCGCACATCCCTGCCTTTCCTGGTTTTGAAAGTTGGTGTTTCCTCACCCTTTGAGTCAATATTCCCTCATCATAACTTTACCTACTAGCATATCAAAAAAACAGAGGCACCTGAACATGTTACTTGTGAAAGGGTCAGCACCCTTCTGGCAAACCAGTCACTGTCTTGCACCAAGATGATTTTTCAATGATTTTTAACATATCCCTCTACTTTCTCCTCCTTTTCCAGTCTCCAATGTTGTCTGGACAATCCAGTGGACACGGGAAGAAGTTAGGTCATCGGGGAGTTGATGCTTCTGGAGAAACCACCTACAAAAAGGTTCTACCACCAATTTGAATTCATTGACTTTGGGATTGGATATGAAATTTATCCCAATGAGAAATTGAAGAAGATGAATGGTAAAGAAATATAGATATGGTGACCAAAAAGGAGGTGATCATTCCTGTCCTATGCTCTGATCAGATGCCTTCTGGAATATCAGGTCCAGTTCTAGGCAGCACATTTTAGGAAGGGTGCATACAGTCTGAATCATGATTGGAGGAAAGCAGTCAGAATGGTGAGAAGATTGGAAACTGGGCCATGTGAAAATCAGTTTCAGGAACTAGGAGGATTAGCTTGAGAACAGAACACTTCAGAGGGCACGTAAAGGAAGTGAATTAGTTTATGTAGAAGAAGGATTAGGCAACACTGGGGGAAAGTTAGAGAGGCAGACTTTGGCTCAAAATGAAAAAAGACTCTCCAATAATTAGAAATTTCCAAAAGTTTTGGAATAAAGGACTGCCTCATGAGTTAATGTTTTCACTTTCTGAGGATCCTCAAGCAGAGGTAGATGACTACTTGTTGGGAATGCTGCATAGGAGATTCCTACTTGCTTAAGGTTAGGGATTATACCAAAGAACCTCTGAGGTTCCTTCCAACTTTAAGATAATATAATTCTATGAAAAGAAAATGCTGGAGATTGGTGATGCAGACAGAGGCCGTTCCCTTGCTCAAAGTAACCAGTCTGGTCTCTAGAAATAAATTTCCTCAGCTCTATCAAAGAGAGACCTTGGATATAACCAAGATCATGAGTAGCTCTGTAATACAGGCATGGATCTCTGGGTGGCAGTATGGCATAACAGAAGGAACTTGGGAGACAAAGCCAAGTTTCAGATTCCACCTTCACTATTAACCACTCTGTGAGCCTAAGTCCCTTTCCCTCTCAGAGCCTCACTTTCCTTCTTTGGCAAAATAGAGATGGTACTTACACAGCCTACCTCCTGAGGTGGTTGTGAGGAAAGTTTTTTTTTTTTATAAACTATAAAGGGCCATGAAATATGAACTGCATAAATTCCCTTATACAGAAACAAATCATTAAGAGAGTCTTTTTTAGTTCAGAATCCTTAAATAAAAGGAATTACTAATCCAGACCAGCCAGGAGTTCAGCATTTTCTCATTTTAGCATTAGTACTTGAATTTAGGCAGAACTATGACAGGATTTCAGATTTCTAGATGTCTTTCAGACATATCTTTGAGTTTCATCATAGTATGAGATGATTAATTAGTGTGTTACAATTGATCTGCCTTAAAATTCATGCAATCTCCTACATATCTCAGTTTAAGCTATTAGAAGGGGAAAAGTCCCCAATATGGCAAGACTTATGCTCTTTTAGATTCTGGCAGCATTGGTTGTGAAATCTTTATTATCGTATAACGCTGAATAAGGACTTGATAATGATCTGGTTTGAAGTGGTCTCAAAGCTCTGCAAGCTTATTATCTAACTACTAGACAACAAAAGGAGAAACCTAAGAGAAAGAACCTTGGCCTAGAAATCAAGAGACATAGGCTGTATACCCAGGTATTAATTTTACTTAGGTAACTCAAGTTTTCCTCTCTAGATTCCTTTAGCTTTCCCTTTTCTAACTGCTGCATAGAGATATTGAGAATAAAAATAAAATGAAAAATATGATCACCAAAAATTGTTTGAAGTACCATACACAGTGTAAGGTAATGTGGTAACTATATTGATTAGAATCCATAAATTATATAAAAAATGTCTCCTAGTATAAATGCAAATTATTACGTGACTATAGAAACCAAGGTAATTTGGATGTTTATACAAATTACTATTCTCTCGAAACCAGCACCAAAACTGAACTCATGCTAATTTGTAGTTGGCAGAGTTGAACCCACTGTACCTCCCCGAGTCATCCTATGAAGTTGAGTGTTAGGGTTGACCCTTCAGGATTGTGAGATTGTAAGAAATAAAAGGGGGTAGTGACTTTGTTGTGCTTTCCCACAGACCACCTCCTCTACTCTTCGGGGGGCCATCCAGTTAGGAATTGGCTACACTGTAGGCAACCTGAGCTCCAAACCAGAGAGAGATGTCCTCATGCAGGATTTTTATGTGGTGGAGAGCATCTTTTTCCCCAGGTATAGCTCTGGAAATGCATGTGTGGTGGGCTGAAAGTGGGGAGGAAGCCAAGGGATTCCTGGAGTCCGTACTTCTTAGTAGGTAGAAACAATGGTTAAGAATATGAAAAACACTCCTGTTCCTCTAACCTACCCCCTAAACTACCTCTAGTTAGTCTCATAGATTGGGGTGATATGCAGTATTATCCTTAACAGTAATCCTAAAGGAAGGACAGCTTTGAAAGGTTTTCACAGCTGTTACAGACTAGGCCTCTGAGACCCTTTTTAGCTTTGTGGCCTTGGAGGCTTTTGACCACTTACCTCAAGCAGCAGTCAGGTGTCCAGTATGTCCCATCCCCCTTTTGTCTTCTCTGATATTATTCCATGGCCTATTTCTGTATCACCTTGAGGTGCTAGGGACAGGCTTAGACCAGGCCTAGGAACTAAGGCCTATATGTGCATGGATACTTTGCCAGAAGCACCAGGAAGAGAATAATAAAGATGCTATCCATCCCAGCCCTCATTGGCTCATTCCTACTTCAAAGACCTAGAATAACAGCACTCTCTGAAAGGTTCCCTCTTGCCTATTAAGATACCATGCAAAATCCTCAGACTAATGTTTACAGCCGTGCACATTTTGGCTCACATTTACCTCCCCTGACTTTTTTTATATTATCCTTTCTCTTGAGAGGCAGTAACTACAGTAGATGAAGAGCGGCCTCAAAGCTAATGAGACCTGGATTCAAGCCTTAACTCTGAAACCTATCTGCTTTGTGACCCTGGACAAGTCACTTAACCTCTCACTACTCTAGGCAACTCTCTAAGCTGCAGAAAAAGTGCATTAACTTCCATTGACCGAGGCTATTTTCTCACCCAGGAGTTGCCTATAAACAATGAGGTCCCAGGTCCAATCCTTCTCTTTGTCTCCATCACACACCTCATTTTAAATAGACTTGCGTGATGGCTGTTCCCTGGACATAACATTCAGCCTTTCACCTCCGTAAGTTTTTGTGCAAGTGGTGCCTCATTCATTCTAGAAATCTAGAATGCACTCCCTCTTCCCTCTGCCTTGTAACAGTCCTGGTGGACTTCAGAGCATATCTTCATTGCCACCTCCTACATCAGTCCTTTCCTGTGTCCCTCTGCTGCCTCCAACCCCCAACAGCTGCTCTAGTTACTGCCCTCATACTAAATAATTACCTATTTTACTTACTATTTTCTTATATGTAAGGTTGTATCACAAGACCTAGGTTAAGATCCTAGCTTTACCATTTATTGCTTCTGTGACCATTGGCCAGTCACGTAACCTCTCACTTTTCTCTTCTGTGAAATGAGGAGATTGAACTACATGATTTCTTGGATTCCTTCCAGCTGAAAATCTCTTACTCCTCAGGAGAATAAATTTTTTGAGAGCAGGAACTGTTTAGTTTTTGTCTTTCCATCCCCAGTGCCTCGCACGTAACAGGCAGTTAATAAATGTTTGTTGGATTGGATTAGAAGGCCTACAGTACCTTCACTTTCATAATAATTCAAGTTGAGACCATTCTGACATTAGAATGAGATCTCTTCTCCACTGCTTTCACAAAATACAGACCCTAAAAACAACATTATTCTTTTCTTCCTGGCATCATTCATCCCCATAGCTTTGGATGTTGGGCAAGTTATTTCTCCTCTTTGGATCTCAGTTTCTCCGTCTTTAAAACAAGGAAGATAGACTTGATCTGACCCATAAACATTCGGTATTCTAAGACTTCTTTCACCTCTGATGTTTTTGTTCTAAGAGGCCTTCTAGTTATAAAGTTCCTTAATCTTAAGGCCCTTCCCAGTTCAAATGTTCTAGGATATGATTCTCATTTTTGTAATGATTGTGTGATTTTGTTAAGGTACCGTACGTACTTTGAGTGGCTTTCTCTTTGAGGTTGGGAGGATATAATATCAGAATTTGAATGAGAGTGAAATGAAGTAGTAGATAACATTAATGCCAGTTCACACACTTTTCTGCCTTTCGTCCTTTCCACACAGTGAAGGAAGTAACCTCACTCCTGCCCATCACTATGCTGACTTCAGATTCAAAACCTATGCACCTGTGGCTTTTCGGTATTTCCGAGAGCTCTTTGGTATTCGTCCTGATGACTATTTGGTAGGTAATGAATGCTTGAGATTTTTCTTTTGTTTTTGCATGGCATTGATGTGGTCTGAATCCATCTTGGTCATTTCTAAGCTGAGGAGACCATTGTTTTTTTCCCCAGCTGGTTTATCCCACAACTTTGGTGGAAAAGTACATAGAATATGGGCTAGCAGATAATTTTTAAGGCATGGTGGCCAGGAGCCAAACAGACCTAAGGAAAATTATAAAGTCAGATACTTAGCTTTGGTCATCTAATGTCATTGCTTATAGGACATAGTTTGAACTAGCCAAAAATTCAGCCGTAGAGTTGGAAGGTGCTTCAAAAAAATCCATTTATTCTGTTCTTATGCCTCTACTTGATAGATCACCAATGATCATTGTGAACTTGGGCAAGTCTTTTTATAAAATCAAAGAATCTCAGGGTTGAAAGGGACCTCAGAGTTAATTTAGTCCTACTCCTACCACAAGCATGAGTCTCATGTTACTTCAAAGGTTGGGAAACTAATTACTCTGTTTTTGGTGGAAAGTTTCTGCCCATTGGTTCTAATTCTACCTAACCAAGCACACAGGTCTGATCTTTTCCATACAACAGCCTTCCAAATGTTTTAAGTCAGCAAAAATGTTTTCTCCCTACCCCTGCAATTGTTCACTTCTTTGGGCTTCAATTTCCTCATCTGTAAAATAGAGGAAGTAAATGAATTAGCCTATATCAGGGATCTCATCATCTCACACATGAATTATTGTAATAGCCTGGGTCTGCCTGCCTCAGGTTTGTTCCCACTCCAGTCCATCTTCCAGCCATTAAAATAATTTTCCTAAAGTGAAGGTACACATGTCACAGTTGCCCCCTCCCCCCAACTGGTGGTTTCCTATTGCCTCCAGGAGTAAATACAGACTGCTTTGTTTGCCATTCAAAGCCCTTCATAACCTAGCCCCTTCCTACCTGTAAAGTCTTCTTAAACACCTTACTCCCTGACACATACTCTTTGATCTAGTGACACTGGCCTTCTGGCTATTTCACAAACAAGACATTCTATTTCTTGTGTCCTGGCTGTCCCCATGCCTGGACTGATCTTCTTCTTCCACTCTGATTACTGACCTCTGTGGCTTCCTTTAAGTCCCACCTAAAATCAGTCCTACCTTCTACAGGAAACCCTCCCCAACCCTCTTAATTCTAGTACCTTCCCTCCAATAGTCATTTCCCATATATTCTGTATATGCTTTGTTGTTCTTTGTTGTTGTTGTTGTTTTGTTTTGTTTTTTAGGCATTTGGGATGTATATGCTTTGTTGTACATATTTGTTTGCATGTTGTCTCCCCCATTAGATTGTAAGCTCCTTGAGGGCAGGAAGTATCTTTTGCCTCTTATTGCATTACCAGCACTTAGCACAGTGCTGATATATAGTAGGCACTCAATAACTTTTGATTGTGATATGGACCCTTTTGGCAATATGGCAAAGCCTATGGACCCTTTCTCAGAATAATTTTTCTAAGTAGTTGAAAAAATGCTAAATTTCAGTTAGAGGTTAGTGAAAATGAAGATGTAATTTTTTTCCCAACCAAATTCATCATTTCCCTGAAATCTGTCTATGGACCTCAGGTTAAGAACCCCTGATCTAGATTATTTTTAACTTTTGTGACCTTAGGTCCTTTCCAGCTTTCATATTATGTGTTCTGTGGGCCTTTTATCACCTCTTATCTTTCCTGTTAGTTCTCCTTTTTATTCTTCCTGTTGCTCCCCCTCTTCCTTTTTTTTTGGGGGGGGGCCGTAGGGGTTAAGTGACTTGCTCAGGGTCACACAGCTAGTAAGTGTTATGTGTCTGAGGCCAGATTTGAACTTAGGTCCTCCTGAATCTAGGGCCGGTACTCTGTCCACTGTGCCACCTAGTTGCCCCTCCCCCTCTTCCTTTTACCAGACCTCTCCTCAATTACTTGCCCTCCCCTCTCTCTGACCGAAGTGTTAGTTGATTAGAACTTAAAGTGGATCCTTTCTCAGGGTGTATTTGCATTTGAATTGAATATCTGCTCTTGGTTGAAATAATAAAAGAGTTAAGACTTGCCATGTTGCTTTGAAAAGGTTGCCAATTCCTGCCTGCTTGTGTCTGCATAGCCTTCATTCGCTCTTTCCCTTTGCCAATTTATAACCAATAAGACATGAGGGATGAGATAGGAGGTAGCAGTAACCATGGTAAAGAAAAGAAGGCTATCTGGCTTGTGTGTGTGTGTGTGTATACATATGTATAATATATGTTTTTATTTTTTTCACACACACACACACACACACACATGCATTGTTGTGGGTGGAGAGTGTGGATGTGCAGATGGCTTGACCGGTAGCTGGCTGCCTAGATGGGGGGCTCTTCTCCTCACTAAGTTTCCTAATAGGTTCTTTCAAGTTAACTGATAGTTCCATTTTCTTTGCAGAGAGTTTGAGGACTATGTTAGCAAATAGTCATTATTTCGGGGTTTTGTTTGTTTGGGTTTGGATTTTTGGTAATTTTTTGGTTTTGTGTTTCTTTAACTTTTTTCTTTGTTACTAGGGAGGTTTCAACTTGATGGGGGTGGGGAGAGATAGGGGAAAGAATGTCCAGAAATTACTGAGATACAAAAATCACATATATCAAGAAATCTTTTTTTTTTTTTAAGTGCATTGTTAGTACATTACAGTTTAGGAAATCTTGGGAGACAGCATAGTAGCTGATGAAAGATGGCAGTGGAGTAAGAGCTGCTTGGAAGATAGATTCACAGATGAGGGGCACAACTCCTTCCTCTAATGCTGTGTGGTAAGGAGGGAAGAACTGCATTGTAACCCCTGAGATGGAAAGGCTCCTTCAGCCATGAAGTCAGGATCATCAGTGCTAAGCAGAAGACTACTGTTTAACCTGCTTCTTCAGTTTGCAATAGGTTCCTGTTGGATATCACTGGCCAGGTTCTGGGACCTTCTGCCCCATTCAACCAAACCTGCCCTGGCTCAGAGAAAGTCTTTGGGGCAAGACATTAAGATGAAGTTGTCTGTCCTTTCTATAAAAGAAGGGGGAAACCGTGAACTTGTCACCGCAGAAATGCTTTTCCTTTGAACAGATGTGGGTGTGCATAAAAACCGGACTTGATGAGGACTAAGGCTCTAAAGAATAAAGCCAAGTCTCATATGATAACTGATTTAGAAGAGAAAGAGAGTCTGTGTCCCATCTGTGTAGCAGGAAAGGCTAGTTGCCATTTTGATGATAGTGGTTACAGATTTGGGGGAAAGACCCACGCCTTCCTGCCTCAGAAAGGTCACCACTCTGATTTGCAGCCCTTCTCTTGTCAGCTCTTGCCTGCCCCAGCAGTACATCTCTTTAATGATGCATGAGATGATTAAGTAGATGAAGTCCTAGCTTGTTAATCCATGTAGTGCCGTGAGCTGTTTTCAGTACAAACTAAGGAGTGCTTAATGAGTTGTGTGGATTGAGTCCTTGGCATTTATTCTTTTCCTTCCCTTTAAGCAATCCCCCAAAATCCAGTTTCTGTTCCTCTGGCCATCCGGGTCTCTTGTCACTTTGGTTGACATGTGGATGGATTGTTTGTTCCTGATATCTTTTCCGCCCCGACCCCCTGTCCTTTCATTTATACATTGAGAGTTTGCTGTGTATGTACCTCTTCCAACTCAGGAATCTAGGAAAATTTTTGGAAAAAAGCCCAAGATATATCCAGAGGCAGCTGTCTAACTTTTGGGCCCACGAAGGTACAAGCTGCTGCCTTTTGGGTGGCATGTGTTGCTATAGAGCCAATTAAGTTTTACAGAAATGGTGGGAAATACTGTATTGTTCAGCACAACCCCTAATGCAGTGTTATGGACAAGACTCTGGGATTCTGTAGTTGGGAATGTGAAAGAAATTGGGAATCTGAGAAATAAACCTGCCTTAGTCCTCCTTTTGAGGACACCAACAACTAACCTAAGCATATTACTATAAGGATCCGTAAGGGAAAGGATTAAAAAGGACTTTCAGGCATCTCTACTAAGAGTATTATCCTGGTAGCCTTTCTAAATAGTAATTCGAGATGGTTCCTTCTCTTTAAATGAGTTGGATTAGATATCCTTCTGGCTCTGTTTTGTGTTGTAGAGGCTCTTTCAGCTCTGACATTGTATGATTCTATAAGCTTGAAAGATCACCTGAGCTGTTAGAGCCCATGGGTACAGGGTATTTCAGAAGTTTGAAACTTAAAATGAAGCAGTTGGAATCTCTTTTTTAGCCCGTTTAGGAAAGATTCTGCCCAAATACAGACAAATTTTTAGGGGCCATCTCCTTAGTCCAAGGGAAAAATAATTTTACTACTTTCCTAAGTAGTTCCACTGCTATTCATAATTTTGTTATGCTTATCATAAATCTAGGGAACTTCACAATTGTTTCCTTTCCATTACTTTCGATATTTATTTTGAATTGTTCATTCACTTATTCTTTCGGCAGCCATTTTTAAGCACCTACTCTGCACAAAGCACAGGCCTGAGTAAGAAGATAGGCAATTAATGGATGATCATTCTAGCACACTCTAGCAAGAAGGATAAGATACATACACCTGTACTACTGTACAATAAATATATATCCATCGTATAATAGCTATGTTGCAGAACAGATTATAAGAAGGTAGTCAGTATAATAATGGTCATTAGGATATGGGGTCCAGGGTCAGAAGACCTGAGTTAAAATCCAGTTCTAACCCTGATAGCCATGTGACCATGGACAAGTTACCTAGCCACAATGACCTTTAGTATCTTCATCTGTAAGGTGGAGATAATAATAGTACTTAGCTTACAGTGTCATTATAAGAGTCAAATCAGTCAAGAAGTACTTATTAAGCATATACTATGTGTCAGGCATTGTGCTAGGTTTGAGGTATACAAATACACTAAGATGCATAGATCATATAATGAGAGCAAGGGATAACTAATAAACAGCAGATGTACTCCATGAATATCTATGTACTGTCAAAAGAACATGAGGACACCCCCCAGCACGTTGGGTAAACCCTCAGTGGAATATTTGTGGGAGTATATAACAAAAATAGGGGCAATTGGGTAGCACAGAAAGATTCATCTTCCCAGGTTCAAATCTGGCCTCAGATACTTACTAGCTTTGTGACCCAGGGCAAGTCACTTAACCCTGTTTGCCTCAGTTCCTCATCTATAACATGAGCTGGAGAAGGAAATGGGAAATCACTCCAGTATCTTTGCCAAGAAAATCCAGAATGGGGTCACAAAGAGTCACACATGGCTGAAATGGATGAACAGTAACAGCTAATAACAGAAATGGCACTGCATGGGTTATGGTCATTGTACCCATTATCCATGAGATCACAGATCTCATGGAATGTTAAATTTATGCAGATTATATAAAAATACATTATAGGCATATTTCTTTTTTTTTGAGAATCCATGTTTTCAGCAGTACAGGTATTCTAATTAGATCATGACTGTTTCACAACTGTGTTGTAGACAGTTCAGTGAATTGTTGTAGCCAAAAATTAACTTGTGTTAATAAACCTGCCCAAATTTAAGCTGGTACTTGAGCAATAGACTCTTACATGAAGCCTTCAGGAACCCGGAATCAGCTAGATGCTAATAAGGCATGAGAGTGGGACTTTATGAAAAACTGACCTTAAATGTTCTCTGAGGGCTCTCCTAACTCTGATAACCTTTGATTTTATGTGTGTGCACATGTTTGTGTCATGGTACATTAATGCTTGATAGTAATTATTAATTACAATAGTATTTACTCTCAACTATTTTAGCACCTTAAAACTCAAGGAAAAGATTTGCCTTTTAGAACTTTAATAATGTTTTTTACAGGTTCAGCCATACTAAACATGGTTTCAAATGGAGTGTACCTGCTTGTCTCACCTGAATTCCTGTCATCTACCAGAGTTTCCTTCCAGTCCTGCCACCTGTGACTTTTCCATTTCTTTTCTTTGCTTCCTAGTATTCCCTGTGCAACGAACCACTGATTGAACTTTCCAACCCAGGTGCCAGTGGCTCCCTCTTCTATGTCACTAGTGACGATGAGTTCATCATTAAGACTGTGATGCACAAGGAAGCAGAGTTCCTGCAGAAGCTGCTTCCTGGCTATTACATGGTACGTGTAGCTTTATTTTTTTTCCTTTTCTCAGCCAGCAGCAATAGCAACAGTGAATGATTATAGAGTGCTTAAAGTTTGAGTTTGAAGAATATTGGGGGCAAGAGGGAAGCGAGGAAGCTATCCAAAGCCATACAGAAAAATGTTCTAAATCACTAATAATCAGATAAATGCGCATTAAAACAATTCTAAGGTACCACCTTATATTCATCAGACTGGCAAAGTTGAGGGAAAAAAAAAAAGAAAATGACACATGCTGAGGGAACTGTGGGAAAACAGGTATGTTAATGTACTATTGGTGGAGCTACGAATATTGGTCCAGCGACTCTGGAAAGAAATTTGGAATTGTGCCCCAAAAGCTATTAAACTCTGCATACCCTTTGACACAGCAATACTGTTTACTTGTCTGTATCTCAAACATATCAAAGAAAGAGGGAGAAAGCCCACATGTACAATAATATTTATAACTGCTCTTTTTTGTGGTGGAAAACAATTGGAAACTAAGAGGGAGAGGGAGTACCCATTTGTAGGGAATGGTTGAACAAGTTATGATATCTGTATGTGATGGAATACTATTGTGCTATAGAAATTATGCAGGGAATGGTTTCAGTGAAACCTGGGAAGACTTGTGTGAACTGATGCGGAGTGAAGTGAGCAGAACAAGGAGAACAATTTATACAATAAGAACAATATTTAAAGACAAACAACTTTGCAGTACTTAATTAGGCATTGTCATCAACATAATGACCAACCATAATTCCAGAAGACTGAGGATGAAACATGCTGCCCCCCTCTATCTAGATAGAAGTGATGGCCTCTGAGGGCTAACAGGCATATCTGTTGAGGGACAGTAGAGGGAGAGGGAGGGAATAGAGTGAGTGTGGCCAATGCAAGAATTTATTTTTGTTTGACTATACATGTTTGTAACAGGTTTAGTTCTTCTTGCTTTCTCAGTGGAAGGAGGGGGAGAGATGGGAGGGAGAAAATGTGGACCTAAAAATAAAATTTTAAATGTGTTTTAAAATTAAAAAAAAAAAACCTGGAAGGTAGCATGCTCTAATAAAACAAACAATAAAGTGCTAGGAGTAAGGATCTCTGAGCTCTGAACCAGTCTCTGCTGCAAAATCACTGTGACTATGTGTCACTTCCCATCTCGGTTACTTTATCTGTAAAAGGTGGAGAAAGAGAAACTATAGATCTTCAGTGGCCCTTCGAACACTCACATGATCTGATCCTTCCCTCCAACCAGAGGAAGAAAACATCTCCATTTGTCCCAGACTTCTCTTTAATATAATGACATCAGCCAGAGGATTGTACTAAGTTGAAAGTCTCATTCAAAAACTTAAACTGTCTTTCTTAGGCATCCTAACAATGAGATGGGCTGACTCATAAATTAGGGGCTTTCTGGGCAGGGGAATGTTCAGGCAGAGAATGGATGACCACCCTTCAGGGATGCTACTAATGGCATTCCTGTACTATTTGGGAAGGATGACTAGATGACCTCTACCTTGGGGTCTCCAGAGCTTGTAATACAGCAAGACTTCCTATCCAAAATCAGGGCACTGTGTTGGGCAGTGGAGATAAAACAGGTGAGGTGGCAAACACAGTCATACTGATTATGGAGGGAGGTTGGAGGCCTGGGAATCTTGCAGTGGCATAGTCAGTTCTAAAATTGTCCCCTCAGGACCAAATGTAGGTTTCTCAAATCTCATTTTGCATGTAACCAAGCATGTTCCAGTTCTTGGCAGGGCCAAACCGACCTTGTAAATAAGAAACAAGAGGCTACAGATGTACAAAAATGCTCACTGGCCTACATACTTTCCTAAGTTTTGAGGAAATGTGTGAAGAAATTGACTTGTCACTTGATAAGTCATAGTTTCTATTTTTGTTTAAAATTTTTACTCTCAGATCTATTTCTGACTTGACTTAATGTGCTTGATGAAGTTAATTGGATTGGTGTCTTAAGAATCATTAGGGTTGGAAGGGACGTCAGAAGGCATCTAGTCCAATCACTGCCAAAAGCTGGAGTCTCTTCTGCATGTTCTGGCATGTGGTTATCCAGCCTCCGCATAGGACATGCAAATCTCATGACCTTCCCAGGTCACCCATTCCATTATCAGACAGGTCTTGTTGATAGAAAATGTAGCCTTTATTGAACCAAAATCTGTGTCCTTTTGCTCTTCCTCCCTTCTCCTCCCAGTAGGAGCCAAGCAGAAAAAGTTTATTTTTCCCTGCCAGCTCTTTAAATATTTGGGAAAAAAAATCAACTATAATTTTTTAGGTTTTCTCTTCCCTATTTTAAACATCCCCATTTCCTTCTTTATAATGACTTCTGATCTTCTCTCCCTCCTGGTAATGCTCCTCCAAAGCCATACCAACTTATCTATGTGCTTCTTAAAGTGTGGTATCCCAAAGTGAACCCCATTCTCATCCACTTGGATAAGGACCCTTGCCACTCCTCTCAGAGACCCATATCCTTAATGGAAACCAGAGCATAGGTTTCTGCTGTCTGTAGGTATATGCGTGGACTTATGCTGTTGACAGAAAACAGTAAAAGATGGTTGCTATATGATAATTGTTACATCAAGCATCTGTTTGAAATTCCACTAAGGTGTCAGGTGACAGCCACAAGACCAGAGGCCAAGGAAGTTGATTGTAAAGAGACCAAAGCTTCCAGCAATAGCTACTGTGCTGTAAGAATCAGATAATCTATATCTGTAAAGAAAGGACCAGAGCAGTTTAGGGTTTTCTAAAAGAAGAACAAAGATTATAAAATTTGGATGGGGCTGCTTTTCCCTCTGATTCTTTGGAGTTGACATATTCTTTTTCTCCCAGATCCGCTTCAGGAAATTTTTTGGTTTCCTGAAACCTGGTCTAATAAACAGACTTTTAGCTCGAGGTCCAGCCCAGTGGGAGAATACTTTGAGTCACCTTTTTTTTTTTGATATACATTTATTTATTTTTGGTTTTCAACATTTACTTCCACAAGATTTTGAGTTCCAAATTTTCACCCCATCTCGCCCCTCCCCCCACCCCATGACAGCCTGCATTCTGAATACACCTTCCCCTAGTTTGCCCTCTCTTCTATCTCTCCCCCCCTTCTCTTATCCTCTTCCCCTTCTGTTTTCCTGTAGGGCAGGATAGATTTCTATACCCCATTTCCTGTATTTCTTATTTCCCAGTTGCATGTGAAAACATTTTTTTAAACATGTGTTTTTAAAACTTTGGGTTTACTTTGAGTCACCTTAGGGAAATGCCAGGTAGAAAGCCTGATTCTTTCCCATGGAGGATAAACTCTTAACTTGGCTCATTGGCCTTGCCCAGAAATGTCAGCTGAAGTCTTCGAGTCTGGAGAACTTTGGAGGTGAGAGAAGAAAAGCTAGGAATCATTATCCTCCCAGCAGCCCAAAAAACCATCTTCCTGGATGAAAAGAGCTCTATACTTGAAATCCCAGCTCTGTTGGAATCCCAGCTCTGTTATGTACTAACAGTGTAACCTTGGACAAGTCACTTAATTGCTCTAAGCCTCAATTTATTAAGGAGATAACAATATAATATCTGCTTACAGTTTTTGTGAGGTTCAAATAAGATATAAAAGGTATTTGCCAACCTTAAAATACTATATAAATTTAATCTGCTACTACTGTCGTTATGACAGCTCAGCTGGAGAACCTCACACAAAAAATAAGATTACTGCTAGCAGTAACTCCCATTTCTGTCAGGCTTTAAATTTTATTAAACATTCTTCATAACAACCCTCTGTTGTAGGTAGGTATAATATCAGAATGATCTCCATTTTATAGATGAAGAACCAAAGACTCAGAGAAATTCAGTAATTTGCTTAAGCTCTAACAAGTTACCTAGGAAGTCTCCACTAGGGCTCCATTTTAAGTCTTCTGACTCCAAGTCTCATGTTCTTTCTGCTATATCAGGCTGCCTCAAGTTTAAAAACTCTTGAACCATCTTTACTGGGTAGCTCAACAATGGCAAAACAGACTGTCTTGAAATGTCGTGAGCTCTTCATTGCTTGGGATATTCAAGTTGAGGCTGATTGACCACCTGTCAGGGATACTGTAAAAGGGCTTCCTCTTTTCCCTGGAAAAATGGGCTAGGTCAGTGGTGTGAAGCTCAGATAAAAAGGGGATCCACTAAAACCATACATAAGGTTACCTGTAGACCAGTACTGTGGGCCTCATTTGAGTGATTAACACCTCTGGCCTCTTATGTCCCTTTCAACTCCTGTGATTCCCCATAACAGAACCAACAAACCAAAATTACCAGCAGCACTGGACTTCTTGGATCAGATTTATTGCAGTTAGAAGAATGGAAGTTTGTCTGCATTTAGAGTCAACAGAGAGGACCACTGACAAAATCTGCATCCTCTGGTGGATTCCAGTTTGGTGTAGGGAATAATGACAATAGTTATCATTTATATAGTGCTTTAAGTGGTTTATAAAGCAATTTACATAAGCTTTCTCATCTGATCCTCACAAAGACCCTGTGAGGATTTTAAAGATGAGGAAACTGAAGCTGAGGAAGTTTAACAGACTTGACCAGGATCACATAGCCAGCAAGTGACTGAGGACAGTTTTGAACTCGATCTTCATGGCTTTAAGTCCAGTTGTTTTTCATTTCCTTTTAACAGTGTGATTTTCTTCCTCCCAGAATTTAAACCAGAATCCTCGGACTCTGCTGCCTAAGTTTTATGGGCTATACTGTGTTCAGTCTGGAGGGAAGAACATCCGGGTGGTGGTAATGAACAACATACTTCCCCGCTTAGTAAAGATGCACCTTAAGTTTGACTTAAAGGGCTCTACATACAAGCGACGGGCAAGCAAGAAGGAAAAGGAGAAGTCCATCCCCACTTATAAGGACCTGGACTTTATGCAGGACATGCCTGAGGGGCTGATGCTGGATGCTGACACTTTTACTGCACTGGTGAAAACTCTGCAGAGAGACTGTTTGGTAAGGGAAAGGGCCCCTAAGAGGGTAAGTTTATATGAATGGGAGTGAGTCACACTGATCCTAGTGGGGGAAAGATAGCACTGATTGTTCTAGGGAGGGTAATATCATGCCAAACCTTAGCCCTGGAAAGAGAAGGCAATATCCCATGAGCTCTCATTCCATGAAAGAAAGTGGCATAGACCCTAAGCAGGAAAATGAGATTACACAGGCCCTGACTTCAGAATGATGAATGGTACAAATCTCGTGCCAAGAATATCAGAATACCAGGGCTTCTCAGATGCCTTACCAGGCAGCAGGTTCATGGACTTGCTAGATTTTTTTAAAAATCAGAAGTTAGAACTGGGGACTTCCTTGCATAGAAGGACTGGATTACCTCTTGCCAAGAACACTTTACAGTATTACCAATACCCATCAGAAATAATCCTATGGAAAGAAGCATTTTATTATCTGAGATTGCAGAATGGAATTAAGTTCAGTTTTGTTTAGTGATCAGTGATTACTACAAAACTAAGATTTTGTGATAACTAAGAGTTCACAGGGTGTGAATGACAAGAGGCCAAGAAGGCAGAGCCAGAGTCTGCTAGGTTTGACCTGATTCCAGGTGTTGGGAGGGGTTGGTGTGGTGTGTCTCTATTTTTTTTCTTTTGTCATGTAGGTATTGGAGAGTTTTAAGATCATGGACTACAGCCTATTGCTGGGGGTGCATAATATCGACCAACAGGAACGGGAAAGGCAGACAGAGGGAGCCCAGAGCACGTCAGATGAGAAACGTCCAGTTGGCCAGAAAGCTCTCTACTCTACTGCTATGGAGTCTATCCAGGGTGGGGCTGCCCGGGGGGAATCTATAGACACTGATGACACGTAAGTAATGAGTTTGGTCAAGGTCCACTGACAGCCTTGAGGAAGGCTTTCTCTGTGGTTAACTCATAGGACAGTTGCTGGGTCACCTCTCCTCTCAGGGACCTCTTTCTGTCTGTCCCTTATCTGCCACTGCCTCCTACTCATTTCCACCCCAGGCTTGATATTGTCATATTGGGATGAGAGTAGAACACAGATTCCTTACCCTGCCCATGCTGTCCTTGACATTCCAAAAGCAGTAGAAGAGTGGCATCAAGGGAGAAGGACTGTTCTCCATTTGTCAGTCCAGTAATTTAGTCCAAATTAGAACCACAGCCATATCCCTTCATAAAGTAAATTGGTGATCTCTCACTGTGTGTAGCGTACATTCAACATCAATTCAGCAAACATTTTTAAACACTTACTGTGGACAGAACATTAGGAGGGGCTCTTGGGGAAAGAACAGCATCTGGATAAAACAGTTTCTGCCCTTTAGGAGTTTAGTCTAGCACCAGGAATAAGATACACAGTTGTAATATACAATAATAAATGGCAAGTAATTTCAGGGTTTGCAAAACAAATTGCTATGTGAAGTCCAAGAGAAACATCCTCACAGAAGAGAAAGATCAGGGAAGGCTTCGCAGAGGATGTGGTGATATCTGAATTGGGCTTTAAAATATGTATAGAAATTCAGCACTCAGCAAAGGAGGGAGAATATTCCAGGCACAAGGAATTGCAGGAGTACAAAGGCACAGAGATGGTAAACTCAACATATTTGGAGGACAGAGAGTAGTCCAGTTTGGCTGGAGTATAGAGAATATAGAGTGTAGTACAACCTACTAACCAGCTTTTTGATGGCTCCATGATCATGTTAATTTTTGACTACTTTAATTCTCTCACCTTGCATTGTTGGGTTGAGACTCCAGAGGTACTGCTACTCCCACACGCACTTATGGATAACCCTGTGAGTCTTTGCCTGAACGCTGTAGGACACAAGTGCCCACCAGCGTGCTTCCTGTTAAGAGTCATCCAGTAGGCTCAGGTCTCAGCAAAGTCATTTATTCAGATGGCAGAGCAAGAATAGTAGTTCTAAAACATTGCCCTTCCTTAATATCGGGACACACACTCCCCCAAATGCACACTTGGGAAGAGTGGGCTTAACCTTAGAGTACAGTTGTTGTGAGGCAGAATACACATATGACAAAGACAGCTTGTAGCACTAAAAGGCCTAGTAATCCGTTCTTTCTTCTTAGAGCCTTCACAAAGCTCCCCCGGGGTTCAGCATTTCTGCTTCACAGGTTGCTCGGCCAGGTTCCCAGTGTCTGCTACTTTCTACAGTCTAACTCTTCTCTGCAGCCAGGGGATGCAGTCCTTGAAACTGCTTCCTCAGTGACTGACTGTCTCTTTGAATTGATCTAGAATATATTTCTCTGCTCTTCACTAGAGGTAATGCCTCCTGCTTGTCCATTAGCTTCCCTTGAGAATAACATAGCCAGTAAAGTCCCTTCTTTCCCTCCTGCACAAGTCTTCTCCATAGGCAATTTCAACTTGCAGTCTCTCCCTGTCTCAAACCCTAACTCTGAAGTTCATCCAGAGCCTAGCTGTTTAAAGCCCCCAAGTCATGGCCAATTTGTTTATTTAGCCAACCACAACATTCCCTTCTTTACAGTTAATTTAACACCTCATTAACACCTTGTGGTTCCATTCTAGACCTTCTGTGATTACATCAACTGAGCTTGGGGGTTGGGGGGAGAATCACCCCCCCCTTGTTACATGTATCTTCTCATCGCATGTGATTCTTGTCCATATATGGAAATACATCCTCTATATATCACCTACCAAATGTACTAGAAGTCTTATTCTATATCTTTAATATCTTGTGGATACCAGTGCAATATTTGGTGAACTGTTTCTGAGAAGTTAAGGGAGACTCATCACCTAGTTGACTTCGGGGTAATAAATTTTTCCAGTCACAACAACTCCCAGAGACCCATCTAAGTTACAGAAGTATCATAAGTTACAAAGGAGTTCTGATCTCTTTCAACAGTAAAATTAGCCAAACCAATGAAATTTTTGACCCTTGAGTCATAGCTTTGTAGTCAACAAATTATAAACACAGCACTATCTTATATTTTCTATACTACTCCATTGATAATGACGGTGAAGATGTGCCCAGCTATAGAAAATATTCTAAAGAAGCCTTCTTGTTCTCTTCTCATTTTCATCAAGGACACCCTCTTTCAGCTAGGTGGCCCAGTGGATGTAGTGCTTGTGGTGTTAGGAAAACCTGATTTCAAATCCTGCCTTAGACATTTTACTAACTGCGTAATCCTGGGCAAGTCACTTGGCCACTTTGCACCTGAATTTCCTTATCTGTAAAATGGGGGTAATAATAGCACCTACCTCCCATGGTTGCTGTCAGGATAGAGTGAGATAATATTTGTACAATACTTTGCAAACCCTAACACACATATAAATGCCAGCTATAATTATTACATACATAGACCCTTCTCATAAGGATTCTATGGCAATAAGAAAGTAGACATATAGGTTAGTACTAACCTAAAGTTTACTTGGCCGGTTTTTTTGGTGGGGTAGGGGAGAATACTATGAATCACGATCTTGATTCTTTTGGAATGTTCCCTACTTTGAGATATTTTGGAAATCAGCCTCTGAATCCCTTTAAATTGTGTTGCCTCCAACATAGGTTTCTTCTTTGTATTGGTCAGGTACAGCCATTCTTCCTCACTTCAGTTTCATTGATGCCATCTCTACAGCCTTATATTATCACTTTGGATACTGAGGTATTAGTGTTCAAGTGGGATGGTCCCAAAGTTATTAATGATAATCTCAGAATCACCGAATTTTAGAGATTGAAGGGACTTTAACAGCTATCTAATGTAGCCTTTATTCAAAAACTAATCCCTGCTCTACTATAACCATTGGGTAGTCATCCAGCGTCTTGCCTGAAGACCTCCAATGAGGGGTAACTGCCTGTCTTCTGTGGCAGTCCATTCCACTTTTGAATAGCTGTAATTTTAATAAGTAGAGCTGTCTGAACTGTCCTATATTGCGTATTTTTATTTTCCTTCCATCTACAGTGTTCTTGGGATGATACAGTTTAGCTGGGTCTCACACTTAATTTTTTGTAGGCCTGTTTTCCCCTTCAGTGTATTAATTTTTAAACAGTACAACTTATAATAGATAGTCTCTTTAACTGCCATGGCTCTCCACTTCTACAGGAGATCCACGTGTTTGTTGGCTAAGACAGTTTCTTATCTCTTTCTGGCTTGTTATGGTGGCTGTTTTCATTCAATAAAACTCCTCTTAGGAATAGCAATATTTGAATCATTTTCTTTACTTTTATCCAACTTCCATTTTTTTCAGAGTACCAGTCAACTAAAAGAGTTGGCCTGTTTCAGTTGCACAGAGTATCTTCCCATCTTTCTTTAAAACTCTACGGATTTGCTGTTCACATAGCCTAACTTATTCTAAAATACTTCCATGGCAGTGGACAGTTCTTTCTTCCCAGAAGAAGTCAATTTCATTTTATATGATTCTCAGCATTCCACATGTCTAATACCTTCCAACTCTCTTCATTCCGAAAACTTTTATTAAACATCTACTCTGTGCAAGGCATACAGAGACAAAAAAACTGTCCTTGCCTCAAGGATATGACATTATGCTGCTTAAAGAAAGTATTTATGATACACAGGCATAACACTTCCAGATAATCCCAAAGCAGGGGCAACTAGGTGGCACAGTGGATAGAGCACTGGCCCTGGAATCAGGAGAACCTGAGTTCAAATCTGGCCTCAGACACTTACCACTTACTAGCTGTGTGACCTTGGGCAAGTCAGCTAACGCCATTGCCTAACCCAAAACAACAACAACAACAACAAATAATAATAATCCCAAAGCCATTGGCGTCTTTGAATTCTTAATCCTTACCCATGTGTTCCAACATATTTTTACTATCCTCTCTTCGTGTTGAAGTCTCCAGGTATCAAGGTGAAATTTGACTTGGATCTTGTCGTATTTTTCATAGAAAGTCTCTACTGTTTCATCCTCTGCAACAAGTATTGGCATATATGCTGTAACTGTCTTTTTAGAGATCGTGAGTTCATCATGTTCACCATGTGCATGACCAGTTAAGATGACCAAGTGTCCTTCAGGCAAATGATGAAACCAACATTCTCCAATTCCTCTATGATCCACTTCTGTATTACTATGAAGTGTCAGAGTAAGGCTTGTTATATGATATAAGGCTGAAAAAGGAGGGTAGTATCAAATCGTGAAGGACTTTGAATTCCAGCAAAGGAGTTTAAATTTTTCAATGGCAATTTGGGAGCTTCTTGGTATTTCTGATCAGATTGTAATGTTTATACCAGATCTGTATGTGAAAAAGGTTATTCCAACAGCGTATAAAAGGTGGATTGGAGGATTGGAGAAAGGAAAATCTATTAGGAAGCTATTGCAATAGGCCCAAGTGGGACCTAGTGAGGACTTGCACTAGGGTAGTAACAGTAGGAATAGAGATTCTGCTGAGGTGGAATTGATAGGATGGTATAGCAGATTGGATATGATGACAGAGTCTTAACAATCCTAAGGTTGTCTATCCTCAGGGAGCTTACAGTCTAGTAGCAGGTATAGGACATATACTCATGAAATTAAGTAAGAAATATAGGAGTTAAATGCTCACACGAGACCATATAAAAACCACAAGGGCAAAATACAATGAATCTTCATATGTATAGACAGTCATGAGCTCTGAGGTAGACTCAGTGGTGTGTCTTCCCAGGGAATCAGTTGCTTTTCATTTCCTTCATAGTGTTATGACCTCACATAGCTATTTGATTTTGCTGTAGAAGCTGAGAAGAGAAAAAAATCAACATGGACTAGGATGGTTAGGGAAAGTTTCATACTAGGTCATGGGACTTGAGTGGAGCTTTGAAGGAATTGGATTGTCAGGAAAGAGAGAGGAAGACATTAGAGATGGGAGGAATGGTGTTAACAAGGTATAGAGGTGAGAATAGCTTATTAGGGAAACAGTGGGGAGACCAGTTTGGCTAGAGTGGAAATTCTTACAGAAAAGAGTGGGAAATAAGACTAGAAAGTCAAGTTGGGATCAGATTGCAGAGGGACTTGGAATGCCAGGCTAAGAAGCTTGGGCCTTATCCTGCTTGATTCTTGAATAGTAGAGAAAAATATGAAATGAGATTCCTCCTTTGTAGTAGGAGAGAGTGAAGATCTGTTGTCTAAGTCAGCTATCATTGGAGCCAGACTTTCCCTAATACATCTAAACGGTATCAAGGCATATTAACCTACCGCCCTAATATGTTGACTAGTATTAGAAACCTAGATCTGTTCAATAGAACATTAATTAAAATTCCACTAAGAACTGTTCAATAGACCATTAATCAAAATCCCACTAGGACCAGAAGTTGCTATGTCAGGGTGGGGGGATCCCCCAGGGATAACGTATCTGGTCTTTAGACTGTCTTGGCATTTTTAGGATTTGGCCCAGGTGCAGACCTCCAACAAGAGAATAGCAAAGAGTCACAGGTGAGGACTACAGTGCATGTGGTCAGTTGTGTGCAAGGCAAGCTTGGCTGGCCCTGGGCTCCTGAACCACTAAGTATCGAACCACTAAGTCTGGACACCAACTAACATTGCAGTGTGCTGTGTTTATACTGGCAGTGGGTATGGCATTATCTTAGCCATTGGCAGCCAACATAATTAGGATCTGGCACATTTGGGGAGCTGGGAAATTTACTAATGATCGTGTTCTTTAGAGAAATAAACAAGTATCATATAGCTTTCTCTGCCACCTTTGGTCATATTTGCTAACTATAATTCTTACAGTAGGGGAGGGGCCTTAAGCAGGACCCTAAGTTTCTAGAATTAACTTAGTCTGCCCTTCACTGGTCAGAAAGCTGCAATATAACTATAAAGATAAGCCTGATTCTGGAAAGCATGTCGAAATCAAAAACTTATTGTTTTATAGCGTTTGTGTGTGTGTGAATAAGTTGTTGAATAAGTGAGTCACTGTTACCCTCTGAGCCTCAGTTTCCTTACTTTTAATCTGAGGAGGTTGGACTAGGTGATTTCTAAGGTCCCTTCCAGCTTTCAAGAATCTGTACTCCATCACTTATTAGCTGTGACCTTAGGCTTTATGCTGAGCCTCTCCAAGTATCAATTTTCTCATTTGTCAGATGGGGACACTGTATGCCCATGCCTCTCAGAGGACTGTTGTGGTGGTCGAACAGGATAATAGACCTCAATAACAAAGAGTCTGCCATCCCACTTTGGAAGTGCTGGCAGGAGATGATATTACGATGTAGAGAAAGCCATTTGTGGTAGATCATGAGAAATCTGGAATACAGCAGATTAATAGGTACACTCAAATATTTTTGAGGCATGGACCCAAAACACCTTAGGTAGATTTATCCTTTGTCCTCTCCTTTCTTGCTGATAGGATCTTTGCTTTCCCAGAGGCTCATTATATGACAGATGGCTCTGGTAAGGAGGAGTGAAGTAGTTTCTGGATCTGACTTCAGTTATCAGCTCCTGAACCTGCTGTCCTCTTTGGCATTACCTCCCAATAGGGAGGTCAATTTCCATAAATGCAGCTCTCTGGCTTGTAGCTGTTCTTGGAACTTTTTTTTTTCCTGGGTCTCTAGGACCACATATTTCACTAGCTGGAGTGGCCACTGATACATAACTCTTTCTTCAGGATGGGTGGGATCCCAGCAGTGAATGGCCGTGGGGAGCGTCTACTGCTACATATAGGAATAATTGACATCCTACAATCTTACAGGTAGGTGGTGGGGATCAGTTTTCTTTGAATTTCTTTGAATTCCTCTATTACAGGTCAAATCAAACCTAAATGCCTGGGATGAAGTTTTCTGATTAGAATTTAAATCAGATCCATGCTTAGCCTTTATTTTTAAAATCAGTTTCTTTTTAGTTATTGGCATTTTAAAAAAAACAGATAATTTTCCAAATTCAGAGCCCTTCTGTATACCATAATGATCTTCCTTGTGGGACTCTAAAGCAAGAGTAGTCAGCCTTTCAAAAGAAGCAGATCAAGAGAGGTGGGGAAGGCAACCTCTTTGGTGTTGAGAGGGAACAAATGAGACAGTGACGACCATGCGCCAGATCTCACAAAGAAGTCAGAAGTGAGTGGGTGAAGAGAAGTGATAGGTCCCATGCCAGCTCTTAGAATGACCAACTGATGGCAGCCCCAGAAATGGGTTGGTGTTGGTGAAAACTCTTAGGTATCATTCATGCATCTGAAACTCTGCCTCCATTCAGTTCTAAACTCCTCTCTAGAGCAAAGCCAGCTTCAGTCCATGACAAAGGAAAGAGAAACATTCTGTGAGCACAATTGCCTATTTGTTGAATGACTTTTTTCCTTTCTTCCCCAAGAAAAGATTAACTTTGGCCTGATCTAGAGAAATTATGTAAACAATAAGAAATAGTTGAGATGCTTTGTTTCTAGAAGATAACTGGTATAAAGGTCTGGGTATCTCTAGTGTATTTCTTTGATATCATTGATGATTTTTCTTTAGATTCATCAAGAAGCTGGAGCACACATGGAAGGCTCTTGTCCATGATGGGGTGAGTTTACAGGAAACTTATCTTAGTAACACAGGTGCCAGTATGCCCTAGACCTCTGGGTTTAGGATCTCTGCTCCATCTCAATTTGCTTTTCAGCTTGAAACAGTCAGGACAACCTCTCAGTATAGGTAGACCTTAGCTTCTCCTTCCATTTTTCGGTTTCCTCTTCCTAATTTGTGATAGCTCCCTTCTTTCAGTGGCCCCACAGGTCTGCTTGTTCATGCTGCCCCCTGTCTGACAAAGCTCCATCCTTCATACATGCTTATCTTAAGCAAAAACACTGTGTTTAGTGTCTGAACCTTTCACTCAGTCAAAACTTGCTCTCAGCTATCTGTCTTTAAAAGAGCTAGATAAAGAGGGGAAACAAGCTTTATTTCAGTAGAGCATGCATAGAGTAGGGGAACCAGGATAGTGAGAGGTCTAGAAACCATGTCATGTAGGGATTGTGTGGAAAAGGGAGCAGATTTTTTCTATATTGCTCTGTAAGAGAACTGGAACCCGTAAGGGAGATGTTACAGGGAAACAGATGTTGGCTCAATAGAAGGAAGAACTTCCTAACAATTATAGCAATTCAATGGACTGCTTTATGAGGCAACCCTGTCACTAGAGAATTCAAGCAAAGTCTGGTATTTTGTTGAAGGGTTCCTGCATGGGATGGGAGGTGAACTGGATGCCCTCTAAATTCCCATCTAGTTCTTACACTCCAAGATTCTATGTTTAGATCATAAGATAATTGAAAATAAGTGTTGATGACTAACATTATAACTTAATGGATTATCCCTTTCAATGATATTTATATTTTCACAGATTATTAGAACTGGAAGGGACCTTTGAGGTGATAAAGTCACAGAATCTCAGAGTTGGAAGGGCCATCTGAGGTCATTTAGTCAAACCTATGCTTGAGCAAGAATCCTCTCTACATCCCCAATAAAATGATCAACTTTCACATGAAGACCTCTAGAAAGGGAACACTGTACCTCCTGAGGCATCCCATTCTACTTTTGGACAACTGTGGTTATTTATAGGATCATAGATTTATAGCTAGAAGAGACCCTAGAAGCTGCCAAACCAATCCTCTCATTTTGTGTATGAGGAAACAGATCCAGAGAGGGTGCATGAAGGCCCCAGGATCCCACAGCCAGTAAGTTTCTGAGGCAGGATTCAAACTCAAGTCTTCCCGACTCCAAGTCTAGCACTCTATCCTTTGCATCATCTGGCCAGAGGTGATGATGATAGGAAGACTTCCCTTACAGAGAATTTAAATCAGCCTTTCTTCATTGGCCATCCATTGTTTCTAACTCTGATAACTCTTCTACATGACAAACCTTCAGATACTTGAAGATAACTTATCTTGTTCCACCCTAAGGGTTTTTTTTTTTAAATTATTTCTTTTTGGTTTTCAGCATTCACTTCTATAAGATTTTGAGTTTTAAATTTTCTCCCCCTTTCTCTCCTCCCCCCTCCCCAAGGTGGTATGTAATTGATATAGGCTCTACTTATACATTCATATTAAGCATGTTTTCACATTAGAGTCTCCTTTTTTTGTTTTTTAGACAAAATATCCTCAGCTCCTTTAACTGATCTCCCATGGCACAGTCTCAGCACCTCTCACCATCTTTGTTGCCCTCCTTTCAGCCACTCCAGCTTATCAAAATCCTTCCTTAAATAGGGTGCCCAGAACCCCACAAAATGCTCCAAATATTATCTGACCAGGGCAGAGTAGAGTGAAACTATTGTGGACACTATTCTTCCCTTAATGTATCCTAAGAGTGACTTGGAATTTTTGGTTAATGTGTCTCAGTGTTAACTCATATTGATATTACAGCACACTAACATTTTTATGAACTATACTATCTGACAATGCTTCTCCCATTTTGTACTTAAAAAGTTAATTGTATGAAAACATAGGATGTTAGCAGTGCAGAGTCCGATCCCCTCATTTTACATATCAGATAATTGAAGTCTTGAGAGAGAAGAGTGGCTTTTTTTGATGTCATATAATGACCTAGTGGCAGAGGTAACACTAGAACACTGGTCTCTTGAGATCTAATCTAATGATCTTGAATAATGAATTTAATACACCATTTATAAAGCACTTACTATGTGCAAGGTCCTGTGTTCATTGCTGGAAATGTACAATAAAGCAAGACAGTCTCTGCCCTCAAGGAGTTTCTGTTCTACTGGAGGAAGACAATACATCCAGGGGAGCTCTAAAGTTTAATACAGTGCAGATGGCATGGTTTGAAGATGGCTAGAAAGTGAAGGGAAGACTTGACTCCGGGCAAAATAAGTTCAAAGCTCATCTTGCAGAGTCCTGAATGGACCAAAGGTCTGAGGCCAAGATTCTATGAGAGGGGGAGGAGGTTGAGGACAGTGGCTAGAACACAGGTGCCATGGTTTGGAAATGGCAGAGAAGTGACTTCCCTTTATCTTGGGCCAAAGGAGTGAATTTCCAATGGCAGATTTCAGACATTAGTAATAGGCTGGTAAGTGTAATATTTTTCAGTACCTCGGACCCTGCACATCATAATATGCAGGCAGCTCATATGTAAGGCATCCCTCCCTGCCTTTTGCAACCTGCACTAGCATGCTAAGTATTTTTAGGAATGCAGAAGTGTGGAATACAGGTTCCTTGCCCATAGAAGATTCACCAGGACAGGGCACATATTCAGCTGTCATTCACTTATTAAGAAGCTTTCATTAGGACCCGTTTACCTCTAGAACAAAATACAAACTCCTTACCCTAAAGTTCAAGGTTTTCCATGATATATCTCCTACTTTTCCCTTCTTACTATCATTACTGTCTTCCATGAACTCTTTGTCCTATCCAGACTAGACTAGTAGCTGTTCCTTAAACTTAGCCTTCCATCTTCCAACTCTGTGTAATTCCAAGAGCCACACTGAGGCTTGGAATGCGCCTCCTCACTCCCTCTCAGAATCCTTGTCTTCCTTCAAGCTCAGCTTCTCTGTCTTTCACTGACCTCTTCTCCCCCTCAACTTAGTGCATTTCTTAACTCCGGGTTTGTATAAAATATGAGCTTCTCAAAAGTAGAAACTTTGGTTTTGTCCTTGTAACCTAGCACAAGGCCTCAGAACACAGCAGATGCTCAGGAACTGTTCAGTTGAATTGAACATGAAAAGAGAACTAGCAACTCAAGGCACTTTGAGGTGGTGAAAATCTGCTGGATTTGACCTTGACCAAAGGACGTGAATTCTAAACCTGGCTGTGCTGCTGGATCATGCTGCGGTCTTGGGCAAAGCAGCTCATCTCCCTCAGCTTCAGTTGCCTCATTGGTAAAAATGAGAAACTTGATCTGGATGATTTCTAAGGTCCCTTCCAGTATCAAATCTAGAAGTTCTGTGAGCCCTGGCTCTAATACTCACTAGCTCTGTGACTGTGGATAATTTACTTAACCTCTTAATCTGTGATTTCATCAGAAAATGGAGATAATAAATGACACCTGCACTGCAAGTGCTTGCACTTGCACTTGCATTTGCATATATAGGATTGTGGTAAGGAAAGCGCACAATAAACAAGTGTGTCACAGAAATGAGAAAAATGAGGCAGACCTCCGAGGCCTAAGTCTAAGTTGAGAAATGAAGTTAGGATCCAGGCCCTGTGGAGTGTCATTACATCACAGGGCCGCTGCCAGTTTGTCTGATGGTTAAGTCCAGGAGAGGTTCACCACAGAGCCTGAGGCCCAAGAGGCATCATGGTGTGGTGGGAAGAGTGCAGGGTTTGAAGTCAGAAGACTCAGGTCCACAGCTCACCTCTGGGATTTGTCAGAGGCACGTGTGACCTTGGGAAGTCATCTTACATTTCTGACTGACCTACAGTTGCCTCAGGAAAAATGAAGGAGTTGGCATCAATGATCCCTAAGTGCATTCCTGATTTAAATCCTGTTATCTTTTAAGTTGGAGGGCCGCATGAATTTTATATATTTAGAGGCCATGGGAATTTTTCTTCCTGACAGCAATGATGACTCCTGTTGCAACTGAAAAAATCTTATTTTTGAATAATTATTAAAATTTTTCAATAAACTTTTTAATCAAATTTATTTCTTCCAAAGTATCAGTTATGGAACTTAATGCTAGTCATTAAAGAATTTAGATCAAGCCCATAAGAATTTAATGAAATGAACTATTCCTAAGAACTTACCAGCTTCAACTTTAGTGATTCCACAAAAGAGAATGTGTTGCCACAGAGCCAGGTGAAGGCAAACATTGTCTGGAGTTTGACCCCATGGCTCTAAACTCCAGGCCATTAAATCGTTGTGACCTGCTGGTTCATGGATGTTATAGTTACTTAGATAAAAACAGAATCAGAAAACCTCACTGGAACCATGTTGGCCACCCAAGCCATAGGGCAGTTCCCAAAAGTCCTTACTCTGGAAACTTGCTTTGTAACCTCATCTAACCTCTCTCTGCCTCATTTTTCTCCTCAGTAAAATTGTAGTCCTTAGACCCCGCCATCTACCATATGGGAGTATTTTGCGATTCAGTTGATGTAATATACAAGAAACTTTAATTGACAAGCAAATGCTTTGGCAAATTCAAAAGACTATATATCTTAGACTAGCCAGAGGACCTTTGATAGAACAATAGACAAGAATTCTCTCCCTAGCTCGGTGGTTACTTACCTCGGAGCTCACTGCTTTCCGAGGCAGTAATCCTATTGTAATACAAAAAACAAAGCAGTAATACCATTAGAAACTTTAAAAACTACTCCTGGAATCCGGAGAACTGTGTTCACATCTGAGCTCAGTATTGCAGAACCTCAGAGTTGGAGTGGATTTCTGAGACCATAGAGTCCAATCCATATTTGAATAAAAATCCTTAGTTCTGATTCACACTTATCCATTGTCATTGAATTTTTGCTTAAAGGCTTCTAGTGTGGGAAAGTCCTCTACCTCCTGAGGCACCCTGTACTCCATTTGTGCCTATCTCTAATTGTTGGGAGGTTTTCCTTTCAGGCAGTCTAAAATTAGCTCTTTGGAACTTCCAGCCGTTATTCCTGGTTCTGCTTCTCAGATAGGAGAAACCTAATCCTCCTTACATGACAGCCCCTCAAATGCTTGAAGACATATGTTCCCCTGCAATTTTTTCTTGTCTACGGTTAACAACCCCAGTTTCTTCAACCCGTACTAACATAACATTATTTCAAGGCCTTTCACCATCCTAGTCATTATCTTGGGATGCTCTTTGGCTTATCATTGTCCTTTTTTAAATGAATTAGCTCCAACTGAACCCAACAATACTCCAGATGTCTGACCAAGGCAGACTATGGTGGAACTGTCATGTTTCTATTCCTGGACACTATTTCTCTCAGTAAAACTAAAGAGGGAATTAGCTTTCTTGTCAGCCACATCACATTTTGATTCAGACTGAAGATTTTTTAGTCTTTTTCGGATGAACTGCTTTCTAATCATACCTCTTCCAGTTTAACTTGTGAAGTTGATTTTCAGAATGCAAGTTTAAGACTAAATGATCCCCATTAAACTTTCTCTTAGCTCATCTCAGTGCTCTAACCTGTCAAGATCTTTTGGAATCCTTACTGTTAATCCAGTGTATTATCTATCCCATTCCCCCTAGCTTTGTGATAGCTCTAGATTTGATAAACATGTCATCCATATCTCATCATTATTCTAAAAAATGTTAAATTCCCCGGGGCCAGAACTGAAACCTTCTGTTGGAGATCAATATTGTATTGAACCATTAATGACTACCAGATATAGCCATTTAATTGGTTACAAATCTACTTCGTATCTATAGTATTTTCTCGACCTGCCAATCTAACAACCCCATCAGAAAGGAAATAACATTGGTCTGGCATGACCTGCTCTTGATGAAGCCAGGATGGTTCTTTGGGATAACAGCATCTCTTTCTGGATGTTTGCTGACCAGCACTCTACTAAGATTTATAGCTTTTCCAGAAATCTGAGTCCAGCTCCCTGTCCTATAGTTTATAGACCTCATTCCCTTTCCTTTTTTTTTTTTAAATAAGTCTAATGCTTACCTGTCTCCAGTCCTGATCCAGTCCAATCCGTGATCTGTCAGAAACTGCTGGTGGTGTCTCAGCAATCAAATCTGCCAGTTCTTATAGTTCATCTGTTTCAGGCTACTTGAACTCATGATGGGCAGCTAGCCATGTACTTTCTGCCTCCTTACCTACATTGCATATCATTTTGCTTTTAGCCAGTTTTTTTTTCTGTCCTGCAAATTAAAAGTTTAGTAGTTCTTTCTTATTTATATCTATCATCCATTATCTTGTCTACCCTAAGTAGTGGTCCCATCCTTTTTGTGATCCTCCTCCTTTCTTTAACAGCCTTCACTCATTCTGAGTTCTAACACTGTTCTCATAAGATTGAGCCGTATTTTAGTATTTATTACTTCTTCTCTTATGCTTGTTTCCATCGTATATATTTTTTATCTGAGTTAATTGGTGAGTTCTTTATATATCTTTATTTGTTCACTTTTGACATTTTCTTGTTGGAATTATTTCTCTATGTCTTAAGTATTTCATTCTTGAGAGTTTCTGATCCTTCCTCTGATGACTTCCCCTATGGAATTTTAGTCCAGGAGATTGGCCAAACCCTTTGAAATCTGCTCTCCCCAAATCTGGCATGAATGTCAAATTATTACCAGCTTCTCTCTTTTCTAGCAAAAATTCTAAGATAAGTGGTCAATTCCTTCCCAAGATTCCTATAGTTTCTATTCCAGCAACCAATTCTTATTGGTGAGAGTAAGATCCAGCTTAGAAATTTCATTCCCTTCTTAGTCCTTTCACATTTTGAAAAATGAAATTATCATTAAAACTTTGTAATTAACTCATGATGAAAAATAGAGAGAACTGAAGAACTCTTAAATGTAGATTGGAGCATTTTTTTCCACTTTTTGGGGGGAGGGCAACATGACTAATATGTAAATATGTTTTGCATGACTTCACATGGATATGTTGCTTGTTTTTTCAATGGGTGGCTGGAGGTGGGGTTGGGGGAGAGTCTGGAGGGAGAGAATTTGGAACTAAAAATTTCAAAATGAGTGTAAAAAAAACCTTTGTTCTTAACTACCTGTGTGACCTTGAATAAATTGTTTTTCTTTTCTAGGACTTTCTTTTCTCCTCTGTAAAATTAAGAAATTGATCTGAGTTACCATCTAACCCTGAAAAATCTTATGATCACATTTCCCATATAAATTCCCAGAAGAAAGAGGAAAGACATAGAAGGCAATGTGTAGCAAGTATATAGCTAGTAGAGGTGACTTTGAAACATGATGGGATTTGGGGATAGATTAGAACATGATGTCATCCCTAAACATTGGTTATTATGTGTCCTGAGACCTTCCCCCTCTTATTCTCCCCCAAAATAAAACAGCAGGGAAGGCTGTTTCATTTATATAGTCAGCCTAATTATAAGCATTAAAATGTAGGTTTCTTCCGAGCCACTGAAATCATCACCATCATCAGCCCTAAGGTAAAATCTAATCAGAATGCACTCAAGTGCTTCTAGTCTTTGGATGTTATAAAAACTAGAGCTGTTTCCAAGGAAAATTGTTTTTAATGTTGTATTAGAGAGGCATTAATTGGGGCAACTAGGTGGCACAGTGGTAGAGTGCCAGGCCTGGAGTCAGGAAGACTAATCTTTCTGAGTTCAAATCCAGCCTTAGACACTTAGAATTGTGTGACCCTGGGCAAATAAATCACTTAACCTTGTTTGCCTCAGTTTCCTCATCTGTCAAATGAGTGGAGAAGGAATGGCAAACCACTCCAGTATCTTTTCCAGGAAAACCCCAAACAGGGTCACAAAGAGTTGGACGTGACTGAAACAATTGAACAACAAAAGAAAGGGATATGGCAGGGTTGGGCTCCAGTGAGCTAGCCAGTTGAAAAAGAGCTCAGATCAAAAGATCATGGAATCTAGAGCTAGAAGTTAACTATAGGGATTCTCTAATCCACCCTTCCACTTCTCTGTTACCACACATTTTACAAATAAGAAAAACGAGACCCAAAGAGTTTAAGTGACTTACCCTTGGTCATACAGGCAGTAAATAACAAAGCAGAGATTTAAACCTAGATCCTTAGAATCAAGAGCTTATTCTACCCTGCCAAAATGTAAAGAATGTTTTCAGCAATCTTATTTTTTTTCTTTCTCTCCATCCCACTTACCCCACTTCTGTTTTCCTTTTTTATGTGAACTATTCCCTGCTTATTTCCATTTCTAGGACACTGTCTCTGTGCACCGCCCCAGCTTCTATGCTGAGAGATTTTTCAAGTTCATGAGCAACACAGTCTTTCGGAAGAACTCCTGTGAGTATGTCTTGGCATGTGGGCAAAGAAGTCTGGCCCAGATCCTTGCCAGGGGCTGGGAGTTTTGGTAGAAGGAAAAAAGGAATTGGAAAGCAGGGATCCTATGTCAGAAGAAAGAAAAACCTTTTTCCCCCCATAAGAAATAGGGATGTCCCCAGGAAATAGGGATGAAAGAGTAACAGGCATGAAGTTTGGAACTTAATTGAGTCCTACAGAACACAATTTTAAAAGGCAGGTTGTGTAATGAAAAGTGATGACCTTATTCCTTGCCAAAACTAGTCCCTCTGTTTGTGGTCTCCTCCCATCTCCTCCTAGAATTTGCCCCTTTTACCATCTTTTTTTAACTTATCTTTGATCTTCCTATCCATTGGCTCCTTCCCTGTTGTCTACAAACATCCTTAAGTCTCCTTCATCCTTAACAATTATTTGGTACAGCCATCCCCTCAAGCTACCATCTTATAGCCACTCTCCCTTCACAGCCAAATTCCTTGAGAAATTCACCTACACCCACCTCACCTCCCAGTCTCTTGCAGTTTCCTAGTCCCTTGCATTCTGTCTTCCAACGTCACCCCTGCTCTCTTTAAGACTCTCTGTGTTCTCTCAGTTGCAAAATCCAATGGCTTTTTGATCTCCCATCCTTCTTGACCTCTCACTTTTCTTGCATACTCTCTCGTCTTTTGCCTTCATGGGTACTACTTTATCCTGCTTTTCTTTCCACCTGCCTAACCATCCCTTCTAAGCCTAATTTGTTGGATTATCAACTTTGTCCTGCTTCCTAATCATAGGTAATCTCCAAAAGCCTTGTCCTGAACCCTGTATTCTCTATATACTTGCTGTCTCGGCAATCTCATTAGCTCTTGTGAGTTCAGTGATCATCTTTATGCAGATGACTCCCACATATATAAACCCTACTCTAATCTTTTCTCACATCCTGAAATCACTAACTGCCTACTGAACATTTCTACCTGAATATCCCATAGGCATCTCCAAGTCTATACATCTAAAACTAAATTCTTTATCTTTCCTCCCCACAAAACCTACCCTTCATCCAAGCCTCCAATTTCTGTTGAGGGTACAACCAGGAACTCAGGTTTTCAAATTCAGCTTCATCATTCACCCCCTTCTGTCCCTCACCGCCCTTCCATACTTAATCAGTTCCAAGTCTTATCAATTATATATATTTATTTTTGATTTTCAGCATTCAGTTCCATAAGATTTTGAGTTCAAAATTTTCTCCCCTTTTCTCCCCTCCTCCCTCCCTAAGACAGCATGCAGTCTGATATAGGCTATACCTATACATTCATATTAAACATATTTTCACATTAGTCATGTTGTAAAAAAGAATTAGAACCAATGGAAGAAACCAGAAGAAAGAAGAAACCAAAAAAAAGAGGAAATACTATACTTCGATCTCCATTCAGACGCCATAGTTCCTTTTCTGGATGTGGATAGCATTTTCCATCATGAGTCTTTTGGAGTTGTCTTAGGTCCTTGTGTTGCTGAGAAGAGCTAAATCTACCAAAGTTAGTCATCGCACAGTGTTGCTGTTACTATCTGCAATGTTTTCCTGGTTCTGCTCACTTCACTCAGCATTGGTTCATGTAAGTCTTTCCAGGTTTTTCTGAAGTCTGCCTGCTTATCATTTCTTATGGAACAGCAGTATTCCATTACATTCATATACCACAACTTGTTCAGCCATTCTCCATTTGATGGGCATCCCCTCAATTTCCAATTTCTGGCCACCCCAAAAAGAGCTGCTATAAATATTTTTGTACATGTGGGTCCTTTTTCCATTTTTATGATCTCTTTGGGATACAGACCCAGAAGTGGTATTGCTGAGTCAAAGGGTATGCACAGTTTTATAGCTCTTTGGGCATTGTTCCAAATTGCTTTCCATAATGGTTGGATCATTTCACAACTCCACCAATAATACGTTCATGTTCCAGTTTTCCCACATATTCTCCAACATTTATCATTTTCCTGTTTTGTCATGATAGCCAATCTGATAGGTGTGAGATGGTACCTCAGAGTTGTTTTGATTTGCATTTCCATAATCAATAGTGATTTAGAGCATTTTTATGTGACTATAGATAGCTTTAATTTCTTCATCTGAAAACTGCCTGTTCATATCATTTGACCATTTATCAATTACCTCTATGACATTTTTTCTTCATCTGTCCCCTTTCAGTTTGTCTCTGTTTCCACAATTGTAAAGTGGGTATAGTAACAGCATCTACCTGGCAGGGTTGTTGTGAGAATCAAATAAGATAATACTTGTAAACAGTGCCTTGCACAGTGCCTGGCACATAGAAGGTGCTGTAGAGATGCTGATTCTCTTTTTTCCTCCCTACATAGCAGCTACCCTAGTTCAGATCTTCATTACCTCTTGACTGGACTACTCCAGTAGCTTCCCAGTTAATCTCCTGATTCCGGTCTCTCCCTTCCCTAAACAGTTTTCCATATAGCTACCAAAATAATCTTCCTAAAGTACAGGTCTAACCATATCAGTTTCCTGTTCAGGAATATTATTGCCTCCCTATTTCTTTTAGGATAAAATACAAATTTCTCCCCTTTAGTGTTCAAATCTCTCTACCTTTCTAGTCTACCTTTCCAGGTCCATTTCACATTATTTCCCTTCGTGCATACATTTCCACCAAACTGGCCTATTTGCCTGTTTGTTCCCTGAAATCAGTGTTCTATCTCCCACCTTTGCATAAACCTAGGGCATTCTCTCTCTTCATGGCTACCTCTTAAATCCTTGAATTCCTTGATTCTGGTGCTACTTTCTCCAAAAAGTCTTTCCTGATTCTCCCTCATTGTCAGTATTCTCCTTCCTTCACAAGAAGGTATTAGTTGATATTAGTTAGTAATATCTGCCTTTAGTTAGTATTGGTATTCTCTTCCTCTGCCAAAATAATTGTTAATTTCTCTTCCTCTTCCTGCCTTTTTCTGGGTATATATAATATCCCCCTCCCCCTCCCTGAAGTAGAATGTAAGCTTCCTGAGGGGAGAAACTTTTTACTTTTTTGTCTTTGTAACCTCAGGACTGGCACATACAGGCTTCAGGACCTGTCCTATGTCAATTTCATATAGTGGGTGCTTATAAATACTTATTGAGTGAATGTCAGAAGAGCATTGTATTGGGAATCAAAATCTGGGCAGAAGTTCCATTTCTGCCACTAATTTACTATATGACCTTGAACAAGTCACTTTCCATTTCTGGACCTCTGTTTTAACATCTGTGAAATGAAGAAGGGATCAAAGGTCCTTCTATCTGTTAAGATTCTAGAGGGGAAAACTTCTCTTCAAGTCAACATTTATTAAGCACCTACTGTGTGCCAAGCACAATGCTAATTCCTGGGGAAACAAGGACAAAAATTAAAAGCAATCTCTGCCCTCAAGGGGTTTACATTCTACTGAGTGTTACAGTATTTACACTGATAGGCATATGTTATACAGAGGTAAATTTCAGCTCAATAGAAGTCATCTTCCTAACAATTACAGCTATACAAGAGTAAAGCAGGCTGTCATTTAAAGTTAATGAATACCCTATTAATAGAGGTCTTCAGGCAGAAGTTAAGTGACCACTTGTTGTGTATGTTGTACAGGGGATTCATATAAAATATGAATATAAAAGCCATGGCTTAGATTAGATGACCCCTAAGGTCCCTTCCAACTCTGAGACTTGTGATTATATGTATCTTTATATGTGTACATGTGTATAAATGTGCATACATATAAAAATACAAAAAAAAAAGATAGCTAACAATACAAGTCTCTAGATGCTAATGAGCATTTGGCAATTGCCAAATGAATGAGGCAGACAAGGATTGAGTTTAGAGGAAAAAGAAACAGAAACAGATTAAGAATATGGGGGGCTATGAAGCACATACCCCCTTAAAGTTACAAGAAGGGATCCCTATAATATGTTAAAACAGTAATATAGGAAATAACACCAGATACAAGATATTTTTCATATATATGTACTTGTATGTCTCACAGTTGAATGATTTTAAAAGGTGTGAAGCTTTTTTGTTTTATTAAAAGAAATCTGTAGTTGTAAAAATGGAGTTTGAGAGTCTCTCCAGCTTGGAGGCCCTGGTTCATTCTCCCCTTTTGCTACCACATTAATTGCTGCTGGAGCATTAACAGGAGAAAGTTGGTCATAGGAGGCTTAATGGAAAGATAGGGATATGAGCTGGATATTGGTGGATAAGGAAGAATCAGATTATAAGAATTCACATTTACATATGAATTAAGATTTACAAAGTGCATCCTTTCTCATATCCCTGTGAAGCAGATAGTGAAAGTATTATTAATCCCATTTTACAGATTAGGAAACTGAGGCTCAGAGAGGTAAAATTATTTTGTTGAGGCTACTCAGTCAGAACTTGGATTTAAACCTGTCTTTTAATTACAAGACCAGTACTTTGTTCCTTTTCTCAGAGAAGGGAATTATGAGAGCAGAGGATCTCAGGTGAGGTAAATGGTTTTGAAACTGGAAAACAGTGAGAATTAAGGAAAGCAACTTGACTGTAGCAGGGTTCACTTTGAGGGAGAAGAGCAAGAGATGAGGTGGGAAAGGCGATTTTGGTTTTGGTTTTGTTTTTAAAAGGAAAATGCTTTATTAGGCTTAGTGTCCTGACCTTTCTTTTCTTCCTGCCCTGCCCCATCTTTCTCCAATCAAGCTCTGAAATCATCACCATCAAAGAAGGGCAGAACCACCTTGGTGACCGTCAAGCCTCCTGGACCAACAGCTGCCTTCTCTGCCAGCCAGATTCCTAGTGAGAGGGAGGAAACACATTATGACCTTCGAGGAGCCCGGAGTTATCCCACACTGGAGGACGAAGGTATTGTCTTCTTTGCCTGGCCTAGAGTAATAACCAAACCACAGAACTACTCTCTTCCAGAACCCTTCCCTGGACCAGTCCAACTGGTTCAAGTGAAAGTAGGAGAGATTCAGCAATGTGCACAACCTTACCCACATCTGGACAAAGAATCACGGAGTCTGACAGATGGTAGGGACCTTAGCAGCCTAGTCCAACCCATATAGGAAAAGAATCCCCACTAGGACGTACCTGACAAGTGGTCATCTGACCACTGCTTGAAGAGCTCCAAGGAGGGGGAACTTAACTACCTCGGAAGGCAGCCCAGTTCACTTCGAGACAGCTCCAAAAGTCCCTAGAGAAGAATTGGTTCCCCTGGTACTTATTCTGCATATATTAAGCACTGACCATGTGCAAGGCACTATAGTAAGTGCTGGGAACACAAAGGTAAAATGAGGCAGCCCTTGCCAGCATTCAAACTGCTCTCAGGCTAAGAAGGGGGCGTGTATACAAATAAGTATATAGTAAAAAGGAGCAAAGGGAGGGTCTGGATTAAGGTCCAGAAACCTGTAGACAAGACAAACAACTTGCATTTCTGTAAGGGTCACTATGTACTTTCTTCACAGCAGCCCTTTAAGATAGGTAATATTTTTTAAAAGTACTTTTTCAAAGTAGTGCATTCTTTTCATTTTACAGTGGTAGGAACTAAGGCTTGGCAGGGGTTTAAGAGACTTACCCAGGATCACACAGCTTCAGGAGTGAGGGACAGGTGTCTCTTAACTTCAAGACCGGTTCTTGCCCTACTGTACCATGCTGAAGAGAGAGAGCCCTTTCATTTGGAGGAAGGGTTCATGAAGCACTTGAGTTAGGCCTTAAAAGAAGGAAGGAATTTCAGTAAGTAGAGATAGGGAGGATAAATAATTCATTCTGGGCACACACAAAGAGATGGGAGAAAACAGAATGAGAAGAGAGGATGGCACATTGTTCAGTTTTTCTAGAATGTAAGGTATATAAAGAGAGAGCATCGTTAGAAAGCTGAAAAGAGTTCATAGCCCAATTATGGAAGGCCTTGAGTGCCAGTATCAAAAGCATATTTCCTACAGGATGCTTTATTCTACGTACAGTGTAGGGAGCCACAAAAGATTTTAGAATAGAGGAGTGATACAATAGTAGTAGTATATTGGGAAGGTTAGTCAAACAATCATGTGAACAGTGAATTAGGGGAGAGATTAGAAGCAAGGAGACCAGTTAGGAAGCTATTCCATTATTACAGGTGAGAGGCGAGTAGGAATGGGAGAAAGGGGTGGTAGAGGCAGGACCCCATTAAATACAGAGGAAATAGAATTGATCAGACTTTGGTAGGTCGTTGGATACGGTAGGTGACGAAGAGAGAGAAGTCAGAAGTGACTTTAAGGTGTCAGGCATATGTACTGGAAAAATGATAACGTCATCTAAAGAAGTAGAGAAGTTGGGGGAGAAAGCAAGTTTAGGAGGGAAGATTGAGTTCAGTTTTGGTCCTGTTGAGTTGGAAGGGTCCAATAGACAGACTGAAATGTCAGATTACCTCTCAAGGAAGAAACTAGGGACTAGAAGTACAGATTTGGGAGTCATCTGCATCAAAGTTACAGCCAGGATGAGATGACCAAGAGAGAGGAGAGAAAGAAAAAGGCCAGAGGCACAGATTTGAGGGACACCCTCCGTTACTGGGCAAGAGGAAAATAAACAGCAGGGCATAGTGGAGAGGGCACTGGAATTGAGGCCAGAAGACCTGGGCTCAAAACCTAGATTTGGCACTTACTACTTGCATGACCTTGAAAGAAATACTTAATCTCTTTGGGCATCAGATTCCTCATCTGCTGAGGGGGTTGGACTACAATCTAGAATTAGATGATCTCTCAGGTGCCTTCTAACATGTAATCTTAGGAGCCAGCCAAAGAAATGGAAACTGAGTCAAGTCCCAAAAGAAGCAGCTTTAAATGCCTCCATGAGGTCAAAGGATAAGGACTGAGAAGAGATTGTGTATTTGGTGATAAGTTCATTAAACACCATGGCAAAAATAGATGCAGTTTTAGGATGGAGTCAGGTGCCAGATTGCAAAAGGATAAAGAGCAATTTGGTTAGTGGTAAGGAAATGGAAACAAGTATAGACAACTCTTTCTAGAAACTTAGCATTGACTAAAGAAGAAAGGACAGTAGCTTGGTGGAGTCAAGAGATTTTTTTAATGGTTTTTGGTGCAACAGCAGCCACTGTATTACAAATAATGATGAGTACAAACTTATATAGGCAGGTAACCATAGATCTCGATCAGGTAGCTGTAGTACTCAGCTTTGTCCTGGTTAGATACCCATTATCTTCCTGAAATTAAGACTTCCTTCAAGATGTTTCCATCTATTGTCTTGAATCCATCTTTCCTTTAGTTCATGGAAATGTTGCCTTGGCTCTTTGAAAAGTCTGTAGTTAAATGTGGGAATCTGTATTGCTTGACTCTGAGTATCTCTGACAGCGGTTTTGTTTTTCTTGTATTTTTTTCCTGGGGGAGGGGGTGAAGTGAGAGGAAAAGAAAGTAGATCTTAGTTGAAAATAAAATTTAATTTAAAAAAAAGAAGTCTATAATCTAAGGGAAATTTTTTTATTTTAGTAAACAAGAGACCTAGGCAAGTTTTCAGGCTGACCAAAAGGAGCTAGCAGAGGAGAAAAGAGTGAGGATGCATGGGGGATCAGATAATTAATAGAACAAGGTTCTGTGGGAGGACTGGATCAGTGGCACCAAGAAGGGGAGGCAGAGGGACCCACCTCACCCTCTCAGACTGGAAAGAAGGAGAGGATATCTGGGGACATATCTAAGGCTAGCTAACCTAGGATGGCCTCAGTGTTCTTGGGAAAGCAGATTGAAAGTGAGAGAAAAAGAGAGTGCATTGAAGACCTTGAAAAAGGGTATGTGGAGTACAGCCTTTGTGGAGAATGTGACATAGAGTCGATGAGAGATGAATTTTTAAATTGCCATGCAGCAGTAAGAGCCCAATTAAGACATAATAGGAATGAGATAGGAAGTCAGTAAGGATAAAGGATTACCAAGCTACCATGGGAGCTCCATTGAGATTAAGTACCATAAATTTATAGTACATTAAAATGTTGTGACATGCTCCAATGATGCTTAGCAGAATAACAAAATGGAAGTTTACCTTGAGGGAAAAGAGCTTCTAGACTGATGGATAGAGAATCCCTCACGTGGCAAATCGTGGGGTCAGGGCTTTGTAAGGATTATATAAGGCAGTGTCATCTAAGTGCCAAATGAGTAGTGTCAAAAATTAGTCTAAGAGAGGAAGGGGCAGGGATTGAGTAGAGGGATCAGGGAAGGTTTCATGGAAGAGATTGGAATTGAGGTGGACTTTGAAAGATGGATAACATACTGATAGCCACAGCGAAGGGATAGATGATTTACGTAGGGAGAACAGTGTGAACAAAGTCAGGAAATTATAGATTCAGCCAGAGAATGTGAGTAGAGTAGTTTGCCTAGAGTGGAGAGTGCATGTAGAGGAGCAGTGGGAGATGAGAATAATAGAGGCTGTACTGTGAAAAGCCTTGAATGGCAGGCCAAGACGATAGACCTTTTTTTTTTCTCCTATAGGCAATCAAGGCAGGTATGTGGACATTGGGGAGGAAGGAGAATTGTTGAAAATTTTTGGAAATGCATTCTTGACAACTCTAGTGGTACCTTAGGAGAGAAGATGAAGAGAGTTAGGTGAACCTGCTTTGTTGGATAGTAATTTCCTTTTCTTCTTCTGGCTGGGTGTGGTTCCTGCAGGCAGACCTGACTTACTACCCTGTACTCCTCCATCATTTGAAGAAGCAACTACAGCTTCCATAGCTACAACCTTGTCATCTACATCCCTCTCCATCCCTGAGCGATCTCCTTCTGAGACCTCTGAGCATCCTCGATACAGGTAAGAGCAGCTTATTTAACTAGCCCATAAGATGGCTGGCGGCCCTAAGAGCTCTGGCCAAGGACAGAGCATGGAGAATCCATCCTATCCCCCCATGCAGTCAAACCCAGAGCACACAAATCATTTAATGAACCCTTTTCTGGGGGCAAACAAGCAATTATCCACTGACCGCCAGGGTGGGAAACTAGAAAATTTGTGGGCCAGATGAATGGATTTGTGGATCTGTCTTCACAGGCGCCGCACACACTCCTCTGGACATGATACCCGGTAAGATCCCTGGTCACTCTTAGAACAGATTCCTTAGATGTTGGGGCTTGAATGTTGACTTCTCCATAAGGGTTGGGAATGATGGTTCTAAGCAGTCGTGGTCAATTTGTCTGCCCCACTTATCATGTGACCTTTCTCTGGGGTGGGAAAATTGTCATTCTAGGACCTCAGAATCACAGAATTTCAAAGCTGGCAGATGACCACAGAGGTCATCTAGTCCCAACTTATACCTAAACAGGAATACCCTCTTCAGTAGTTCTAGCAAGTGTCCTCTAGCCCTTGCTTGAAGACATCCAGTGATGAACCACTACCTCAGTGGAAGTAGTCCATTACACTTCTGGATAGCTCTAGTTGTTAAAAATAAGTGTTTCCTGTCATCAGACTTAAATTTGATTTACAACTTGTGCTCATTGCTTCCAGTTCTGCCTACTGGGACCAAACAGAACACGGTTAATCCCTCTCCCAAGTGATTGCCCATCAAGTACTTGATGACAGTTCCTTTCCGTCTAAGTCAGCTTTTCTTCAACTAATCATTCCCAGTTTCCTCAGTTAATCCTTGTGAAGCATGTACTTGAGGGTATTAGCCATCCTTAATGCCCTTCTCTGGACACTTTCCAGGTTATCAACAGTGTCCTTCCTAAAATATGGCATCCACAACTGCACACAATACTCCTTCCGTAGTCTGATGGGAGCAGAAGCTGTGGGACTGTCACTTCATCGTTCCTGGGTGTTCAGCTTCTTGTAACACAGCCCAAGATCATATTAGCTCTCTTGGCTGCCCTTCTATGCTATTGACTCACAGTAAACTTGATAGCCCATCAAGATTCCCAGTCATTTCTCAGATGTCCTACTTTCTAATCATCCTTCTCTCATCTTGTACTTGGGGAGTGCATCCTGAACCCAAGTGTAAGGCTTTTACATTTATCCGTGCTATTAAATTTCACCTAACAGGCCTGGATTTAGCCCAGTGTTCTAGATTTTCAAGGTCTCTTCAAATCCTGACCTTGTCATCTAGTGTGTTGGTTATCCCTGCCAGCTTGTTGTCCTCTGTAAATTTGATAAGCACATCATATATATCTTCATCCAAGTTACTGATGCAAACGTTCATGAGTGTGAGGCCAAGCCCAGATCCCTGGGGCATTCCAGTGGAGATCTTCCAAGTTGACATCAAACCATAAATGGCTACTCTTTAGGCCCAGCCATTCAACACGTTCCAGATTCTTCTATGTATCATCTAGCTCACATCTCAATGTTTTCTACAAGAATAGTACAAGAGACTTGTGTCAGATCCTTTGCTAAAATCTAGGCAAACCAAACCAGTCTCAGTAACAGGAAATTCAGTTGATCAGGCATGACCTATCCTTGATGAAGCTCCTTTTGATCCCTGCTTCATTTTCTACATGTTCAGTAACCATTCCTTTAATAACATTCTAGAATTTTCCCAAGAACCAAAGTATAGCCCATTGACCTATAATTTGCAAGCTCCATTCTCTTCCCTTTTTTGAAAGTTGAAGTACTTGCCTTTCCCCCATCCTACACTGTTTTTCAAAGATCATAGATAAGAGCTCGGCACTCTGTCTCGTCTGCTAGTTATTTCAGTGCCTGAGCATGGTTGTCTGTGTATGTCTTGAACTCAGCCAGGACAGGTAAGTGCTGTCTTATCATCTCCTTACGTATCTTGGGTATTAAATCCCCATGAGCCCTATTCATTCCATCATTTCCAGACCAAAGATCATTCTTTGCAGAAAATAATTGAAGAAAGCTAAGAATTGAGTAGCTCTCCCTTCTATGCACCTATAGTTGACACCTGCCTAACCCATCAGTCACTCCATACAGCAGGCCTGTCTCTTTCCTGATCACCATCGTGTCCCTAACAGAGCTTAAAAAACAAAAATTCTAATCCTTTTGCCATCCTCAGCTTTCCTTTCCAGCCTCAGTTCCTCCTGAGCTTTGGCATTATTGATATGTTCCTTACCAAACTGTGCCATGCTTTTGTATTCAGCTGCTTTTATTTCCCTTGTTGTCCATGTCTTTTTAACATTTAAATTGGTTACTGAATTCCCTATATGCTCACATCACACTCTTTAGATAAATCTCCTTACGATTTTGTAGCAAATGTAGCTATTCCAAGTGTTTTCCCATTTCTGTAGTCTGTGGTCTGTGTTCTAAGGGCTCTTCTGGTTCTGACATTTAAATTGCATGGGTTCTGGCAGAAGGTCCACCGTGATGTAAATCTTAAAGATGGGCTGCATTCTAGCTTCTCTTAGGAGTCATGCATCACTTTGTCATTCATTCATCTGTCTCAGCCCTGTTTTAATCCATTTTTATTCACTGCCTATACCACCTAGTGGGATAGTAAATTGATGTAGCAAGTTTATGAACTCATGTAGGAAGCAGGATTTCCTATGTCATCCAAAACTTTCTGTGTCTAAGTTTCCAGAAGTTGCCTCCCATTTGGAGAGCTGCTCACCTTATTACCACTGGTCATGATTTTATAGATTTCCATTCGTGTCCTTCAGCCTTCATCCTTCCAGACTAAAGAACCCTAATCTTTTTACTTTGTTCTCATATAACCTTCTGCATCAGCCTTCTTATTTTTCTAGTCCCAGTCTAACCTTTTGGGTGTACAATGACTTGGGTCCTAAGGATCACTCTTCAGGAACTAACTGAATCTTTTGTATGCTTTCTTATAAAGTTCAGGCTAGGGCTCCAGCAACTATAGTTCAGCTAACTGTTATTTTATGACAGCTTACCTTCTGAGAGAACCTCTGTAACCCATTCAGGCATATGCACTTTCACCTTAAGACAAATTTCTCCATTAGCTGGGGAAGAAAAGTTTCTCACTTCTCTTATGGGGCAGACCATAGATCCAGCTATTATCCAAGAAGGCTCTGAAGCTTTGGAACCCTGAAAGCAAGGGGGACTGGTTCATAGAGAGGGTGTCCCTGGAGGAAAGAGGATAGATGGTCACCTTCACCAAGTTTTGTTTATGGGCACCTACGTGGGGAAAACCTGAAGATTTGGTCTCCACTGGCCTTCCAGATCCCATGATGAAGTCCATGTGGAAGAGGATCTCCAGCAGATCACTGTTGAAGTTGAATCCAAATCTAGCATTGATGTCATGGCTCCCAAGGAAGAGGCTACAGGGTAAATATTGGATTACTAACAAGGATCGGGCAGAAAGCCATTGGCTTTGCAGTGGTAGGAAATCTTTATCCCTGCCCCTTGAAACATGCATGGTGTTAGTCACTAGCAGTTACTGTGGGTATGAGAGAGCTTCCTAATCCTATTATCCTCTATAACTGCATCCCAAAAGGATCCTTCCTCAAGTGAGAGAGGAGTAGGACCCAAAGGATTCAGCATCCCGAGCAGAGTTCTTTTTAAAGATGGAACAAACTATAATTCCCCACTTCAGTGTTGTTAGCTTTTTGACTGACAACTGAAGTTTTCCTTCAGGACAACTTGGGTAACTAAAGAAAGTTATAGACGAACTCTGTTCGTTTATTGTTTAGTCATTTTCATGACCCCTTTTGGGTTTTCTTGGCAAAGATACTGGGGTGGTTTGCCATTTCCTTCTCCAGCTCATTTTTACAGATGAGAAAACTGAGGCAAAGAGGGTGAAGTGACTTGCCCAGGGTCACACAGCTACTGCGTGTCTAGGGCCAGCCTTGAATTCTGGTTTTCCTGACTCCAGGCCTGGCACTTTATCTGCTGTGCCACCTAGTTGCCCTAACTCTATTCACACTTAGGCATTCTATCAGGAAAAAGCCTGCATATTATAGTGGAAAGAGCCAGACTTTATATCAGAAGACCAACTCTAAGCTTGATTACCAATCGTATATGATTATGGGTGTGTCAGTTCATCTCTTGGGGCATCTGTTTTCATATCTGTAAAATATTCACCCCACCTATCTCATAGGTCTGTTGTGAGAAAAGTTCTTTGTAAACCATAAAACACTACATGAATGTGAGTTATCATTACTATTCATTGGCAACATTTACTAGAGTGGTACTCAAAGTATGGTTTGTAGACCCCTGGGCATCTCTGAGGCTCAGGAAGTCCACAAGGTCAAAACTTTTTTAATAATTACATTAAGACATTATTTGCCTATTTGTCTATATGAAGCCAGACTTCCTTCATATACTTCACCCAGAGCTATACACACAGCACCAGATTGAATGCAGAAGCAGATATGAGATTCCACCTGTCTACTATTAAGCCAGACATTAAAGAGATTTGTAAAAAATGTAAAACCATGACAGTCTTCTCACTAGGCTTTTTTTGGAAAATACAGTTATTTCATAAAAGTGTTATTTATGTAAACAAATAGGTTAATTGTTTTTGTTTTAGGTGAGTTAATAAATATTTTTAAAATTTATCCATTTTAATTTCTAATGGTAAACAACAATAAATATAACTCACTTAAATGAAAGCTGTGTAGGGTCCTTAATAATTTTTAAGAGTATAAAGGAGTCTTGAGATCAAAAAGTTTGAGAACCTCTGCTTTAACCTAATGCCCTCTTTTGTCCATTTGTAGGATGCTTTTTTTTTTCTTAAGTTTTGGTTAGCAAAATTTTATGCCACTTACTGCATGATGAAAAAAATAAAACAAATTTTGGCTTAAGAACCAATTAATCAACAATGATATGTTGTTAATACCTCAGGTACATCTTTACACATTCCAATACTACACACATTCCCATTTGTCCTCCATAATAAGCCTTTGGAGATATGTTTTATTATTCCCATTTTACAGAGGAAAAAATTGAGGCCCAGAGGGGCAGTGACATATTCAGAAACACACAGTTTAGTAAGAGAACTAGGACTTGCACCCAAGTACTCTGATTCCCAGTCCCTCTTACTCTCCTTCACTGCAGCTCCTGAGCCTCTCGTGTATGCTTGGTGCTAGGCACTAGGTTAGCAAAGAAAGAGAGCTTGATGAGAAGTTTGTGCATGAGGTGGGGCTGTCATAAAGGATGGGGGAGCAGAGATGGGGAACAATAGGAGCGAAGCTGAACGTACAGGGAGATGGCCTTCCATGCTCTTTTTCAGGCCAATATTCTTGGGTCAGCTCATTTTCCCCCGCCTAGGCAGTGCCTCCCTTCCCTGTCCATCCCCTACTCTGCCAGTCATATTTCCCACCCCCTGTATACAGGGAAGAGGCTTCTTCTGCCAGCATTATGGTCACACCCCCGGCCACCGTGGAAGTGGAAACCGCCAGCCAGGCCTCAGATGAAGACGAGGCACCTGTCACAGACATCTACTTTGTAAGTCTCTACTGTGTCCCCCTCAAGGGGCCAGGCTTGTTTACTCCTCTGCCCTCCTCCCATGGTCAGGGAGGGTGGTTTAAGAAGGCAGTTTTAAAGCCCCTGGGTATCTGTCTCCTCCCATAAACACCACCAGTTTAAAATCCCACAGCAAAAGGAAGTATCTTCTGAGTGGAAACTGCCCCAGAGGAGTCCTCTCCGAGACTAAAAGCTTAGCCCTTTCCCCACCACATATTGATTACCACGTAATACTTCTGAAGACATGTGCATATGAAGAGAGCCTTGTGCTGTATTAAAAGTTCAAACAATGCAGCCTGGTGCCTTGTCAGTGAAAAAGGGCCCACTTGCCCCAGACACTAAAGTATTTATCCATATTGGTTTTCACTGAAGCAAAGCTCTCTGATGGATGGGACCTTGGGGCATGGTTAGGGACTCAGGACAGAGCTAAGCAGATCCGTGCTACCATGTCCTTCTGAAAAGAAGGCATACAGCACTGAATAACCGTGCTTATTCTTCTTTAGTAAATAAATGGGAGAGGCTAGCATCACAAACATGAAACCTCAGGTACTCTGAGCCACTCAACTCTAGTAGTTTGGGGACCTATGTACATTTCTATGAGCCTTAAGATATCGTAAAGCAGTTTGTGAGACTGCTAATTGACCAGCTCAGCCTGTTCCTTGGGAAAAAGTGAATGCGCCTGAACCTGGTTGGGTAAAATGGGGTAGGAGTGGGGTTGGGGTGGAGGAAGGTCCAGGAGGAAACGGGAGGGACTGTGGGGAGGGAGTAATGTGCTTCAACTAAAAGATCTTGAGCTGTCAGTCATATGATGTTGAAAATCAGCCCCAGTTCATTACCTTCAGGACGTCTTAGGCTGTGGCATGGTGAGCTGATTCCCAGCAAGGCCCTTGACCAATTCTGTTCCCTTTCCCTGCAGGCAGATGCATTAGACGATACCGAGGAAGCCTAGTTCTGAGACCAAGGGAGTAGGTGAGGTGGTCTCTGGGTGGCAGGAGAGGAATGGGGTACCCCAGGGCTAGTTTCCCTTGGGCAATTCCTCACAGCTGCCGAATACCTTGCTGAAAATTTTGGGAGGGTTGGGGTTGTCCAAGGGAAATGGGACCTGCTCTTGAGAATCCAGCCTTGGGCTGGAACAGGATTAAAAAAAAAAAAAGACCATCTGTCCAAAGCTGCCCCCTGTCATCCCGGCCCGTCTGGAGTTTTCCATACTCATCTCTGCATTCCTACGTGGGCCCAGCATACTGGGCCCACACCTCCATGGCCAAGATCAGAGTCTCCTTCACCACCAGGAGAGCCCTTGGTCTCCAGGAGCCAGAGGCCTCCCCATATTCTGCTTGTCCTTCTGGGCACATCTCTTCCTCTCGTCCACGTGTGGCTCATCTGTTGCTGAGGAATGCCTGTCCACTGGAGAGGAAAGTGGCCTAGTCTCTGAAGCTTTGCTTCTGTGTAGTTTCTTCCAAGCATGCCTTTTTATACCCCTCCTGCTGCTTCTTCCTAATGCTTCCCCATGTTCTTTCTTTCTCTGGGAACTGGGGAGGGGCAGGGGCAGCTGACCACACTTTTTAAGTTGCCTGGCTCTCCTCTCCTGGCTAGAATGGGCTTCCTGGTAGCTCCCACGTGACTTTCTCTGAAGAGCTGCTCCTCCACTCCCACCCTGAGAAGCAAAGAATGAAGCTCTTTAACTTTGTATTCATTCCACTCTACTAGGTTCTCATCCTCATCTTCTGTGATTCTTTTTCCTCTTGAGCAATGGTCTTGTGTTTGATGTTATACCATCCTGTGTTTGAGAGAGAGAGAGAGAGAGAGAGAGAGAGAGAGAGAGAGAGAGAGTGTGTGTGTGTGTGTGTGTGTGTGTGTGTGTGTGTGTGTTTTTACAGCCGGATTGGGGCAGCAGGGGTGACTTGGAAGACAAGAAGTTCCTAGCAAAGTAATAATAAAAACAGTTGGTATTTCTTTAGCATTTTTCAGTTTACAAAGCACTTTCCTCAAAATAGCCTTTAAAAGGTAGGTAGGTAGGTAGATAAGTAGATAGGTAGGTAGGAAAAGGTGCTTGTTTGCCAAGCAGAGAAGCTGGTTAACAGAGAGCCCCATAGAGAAGGCCTGGGAGAAAATTGAGCCTCCACAAGATTTTCACTATGAAGTCAGTGTATCCAAGGATGTGCAGGGCAAAGGTACTTTCTTCTAGCCAGGTGGGGACTTTGCTGTTTCCATCATTGGCTCTGTCAACCAGCTAGTCCCTTGGGACCTCCAACCTCCTAGCCTACCTTTCAGCTGCTTTTCACCTCCTTGAATAATTAATTTATTTTCACTCCATCCTTTCTCCTCTGTTTCCTTCCTCCCCTCCTTTGCCCTGCCGCCATCCAGTTCACGGATGGGAGGTACTGGATTTACTCTCCCCGCCATCGCCGACTCCGGGCCATCGTGCTGTCCCCCTCCAGGACTGTAAGTGAACCCAGCCTTAGCTTGGACACACCAGATTGAGCTGACCCCACCTCAGCCAGTTTCCATTTTAACCATTTGGTACTTTTGACACCTTTTGACACCAGTACCCCCTCTTCTCCAAGCAGTACTAAATGGACTGCAGACTGATTACTACCTCCTCACCCCCACCCCTAGAGGGGAAATGGGTTACCTAGAAAATAGCACCTTGCCTATTTTGAAAGGCAGAATACATATAATTAAGAGATTAATTTTATCATTTCTGAATGATAAAATGAGTTTTAAAATGAGCTTTCCATTCCCAAAAAAAATCACTAAAAAATAACCTTTTTAGTAGTATTTTTTCCTCAAAAATACTTCACATCTTTCACCACAATACATGTGTAAACTAGGTGGGAGCAGGTTTCAGTAGCCTCACATTTTTTTCACATAAAGAAACTGAAGCCTAGGCTCTTCCAAGTTACCCAAATCCATGATGGAGCCTGGACTAGTCAGAACACATGTTTTAAGACTCTCAGGTAAATTACTTTTTCCATTTAGACCACACTTCTCTTCTTTTAGAGGATCAATTTAGAACCTGAGGTGGATATGCTTCTTGATCCAAGTCAGTAAATTTGCAACAGGACATGAGAAGAGGAGCTGCTAGTCTAGAGGTTTACTATTTATTTAATCAGCTCATAGTTTTGTTTTCTTTTTAATCAAGTAAGCAACTATTTACTGACGTTTCTGGTGTGCAACGCCGTCTGAAAAGGGTCAGCTGCTCCCTGCCCCCATATTCTTTACAGTCTAGTGGAAGAGAAAATATGTGTAAACAAAAACCGAACTAGCAGTACCCCAAAAAAAGTAGCTAATCCAACAGCCCAAGAAATAAGCCCACTGGATTAATTGCCAAGTGAATGGAAAAGACAGAAACAAAGGAGAGATTGGTGTGAGTTGGAGTTGGTCAGAGAAGGTATCCTGGAGGAGGTCCCTGGGGGCTGGTTCTTGAAGGATGCACAGGATTTGGATAGGTTCCCAGACTGTCAGAGCTGGGAAAGCAACATTAGAGATCACCTAGTCCAACCCCCTCATTTTACAGGTGAGGAAACTGAGGTGCAGTGAGTTTCAGTGACTTGCCCAAAGTCACACAATGGGTAAGTGGCAGAGCCAGAGCTCACAGCCAGATTTTCTAAGTATTTTTCCATAATGCTGTATATCACAGTGTAGGCATAGGAGCAGGAGCAAAAGTACAGAACTGGGAAGGCAGCAACCAAAGTCAAGATCACTTAGGTCAGTTTGGCTGAAGTAGAGGATTCAAAGAAGGTCAAAGATTAAGCATGGAAAGTATGTAGTTCTAAACTGGACTGTGGAAGAATAGAAGGATTTTTAACTTGGATCTTGATTATAATGAAATGAGTATGTGACTTCAGATCTTCCCCTTCCCCAGTTGGCTTACTAAAGACCTAAAGAATGAAGAGCTGGAAGCTTTGCACCTTTAGGTCAGCGGGGTCGTTAACACTTAGCTAGTCCTTTGGTATCTGAGAGAGGATCCCTTGCACCCTGATCTGGCTCTTACATGAAGTATAGGAAGAAATGCTAGAATCCTAGGTCTGGAGGGGGTTGTGTAGGTTTTAAAAAGCAGTATCAACAATCCAGCCCATAATATTGGAGAAATACAGGGACCTGAACCACTTTAAAAATAACAGTAGCCACCATTTACATCACTTTAGAGTTTGAAAAGAACTTTTTTATATCATCTCATTTGAAGCTTACCACAACCCTGTGAGGTATGTACCTCAGTTAATACTGTCCCCATTTACAGATGAGGAAGCAGGTTCAGAGAGGTCAGCTGGCTTGTTCATGCTCCAACAACTAATGTTGAAGGTAGGATGCAAATCCAGGTGTCTCTAGACTCTGTGTTCTGTGCTCACCGTTTCCACCACATTGAAGCTGAAACCCCAGCACCACGGGAAAAAGCAGTGCTTCTCTTCTACTCAAGCTCAGCTCTCATGACCACGAAGTTGGCCCATTCCGACCTGGGACTTTTCTTTACTAGGCCTGCTCCCAAGCTGTGGGGTGACAGCCGCTTCTCTCATCCTATCCCTGTCATCATATGTAAGGAAACTCTTAAGTGTTGCAGGGCCAAAGGCTATGATATGGCTGGAGGACATGGGGAGGAAGAGGACTTGGTATTTACATGGGGCAGAGAGGTCACCTGAAACTTGACCTTTCCTCATTCTGTCTAAGTATGGCTCAGGTGAGGAGAGAGGGGATTACAGTATTCCCACTGGAAGCCCAGTTTCCCTGTTTCCAAGGCAGGATTGGTGGGCAAAGCTGAGATGGACAGACTGTCAGGGATTCCCCTTCAAACTGTTTTGTTTATGTCAGGTTTAAACTGTGTTATTAACTATCCGGAGGGATCTCTCTGGCTCAGTATTACTAGCCAGGCCAAAACAGCCACAGTCCATCCCTCTTTATCTCATGCTGGACAGCCTAAGTTTCTAAGCCAGTGCCAGAATACTAGCTTTCCTTTTGACTTCAAGCTTCAATTAACAGGACCTCCTTCCCAGTTCCCCAGGAAAGCAGTTGCAGCAGAATCAATAGCTTGTTGGGCCTGATGTCACCTCTTAATTAAACACAAGTTATTACCTCCTGATTAAGAAGTAGAAGAGAAATCCCAGGTCTGTAGCCTGGTGTCACTACAGGTACAGTTGGGCACTCTGAGGAGGGCTCTTTAAAATTAAAAAAAAGTTCTCTTTGTTACCTTCCTTTTTGTCTCTAGTCTCTGTCCGCCTGCTGTCCAATGCGTTAAGTTAACTAACTGCTTCCTTTGCATACTCCCCAAATTAACCCAATCTACCCTGCTAATCTGTGCCGCCTTCCCCTGCTCTAGACAATTGCCACCCCCTTCCTCACTCCCATGCCACCCCCGTTAGCCTGGCATTATCAGGGAATTCACTTGATATCCTGGCACATCCATTTGCACAGCATTAAAGGTATGAGTCATTTAAATAGACAGTAACTTCTCAAGCAGTCAGCCCTGCCTTTCCTTGGTCCATTCTGTTCCAGGCTAAGCTTACTCTAGAATGGTTCCAGGTATAGGGACTCAGGTATGTATCAGCGCCGTCCTCTGGAAATGGGCCATATCTATTAATATGGTGAGAAAGGTCCCAAGAATGCAAACTCTTCAGAGAAAGCTGTTCTTTGCCTTCCGGTATACTTGTTCTTACTCTCGAGTTTCCTACTCTTTTATTTTCTCCTTTTTTTCTTTTCTCCTTTTTTCTCTCCCTTGCTCCCTGCTCTGCTGCTGCTCCTCTTGCACCTCCCCCCGCCGTCTCTGGCAGCCCACCGATGAGAGGAGCTGGGTTTACTCCCCACTCCACTATAGCACGAAAGTCCACTCAGTCTCTGATGATGAGAGCGATACAGTAAGTGTACCATAAAAGTGCCCTGGTGGGTTAGCAGGGAATTAGAGGTTGTCTGGCCTGCATCCTGGTTCTTGGTCACTTGCAGCCACTGACCATGTGCTCTTTGTGGGTGGAGACCTTTGGCCATCTCCCAGTCCATCTGACCCCAAGTGTTTCCTGGCTCTAAACATCAAACGCTGGGTAGTTCAAAGCCAGGATTAGACCAACGTAATTCCCACATTTCTTGGGGAGAGGGAGGCCATGAAACTATGGATTTGTTCCATCCATAGCTCTCCTAGTGGGTTAGAAACATGTGGGAAGGAGCCTTTGTTTTCCTCTTCAGTTCCTTCACATTTTTTCCCTTTGCCTCTTTGCAGTAATTTCTATGCAGACATGAAGCCTGAAGCCAAGCCTAGTCCCCTCTCCAGGTTGCCGTGTTACCCTTGTGTTGATATTCTGCCCATCTGGGCTGGCCATGAGGGAGTTTGCCGACTCACTGCAGCACAGGACCTTCTCCGCCAACTCGCATCCCACTGGAACCCTGCCTGAGCCTCCTGTCTTTGACCTTTCTTCCCGCTGACCAATTCAACCATGACCATCCTGGGACCAAAGGCAGTGACTGAAAAGACACAACTCCCTAGCCCAGAATGCCCAGAAGAAAAGAAATCAGTGGGGTGAAATCGAAGTGAAGGCAGTTTTCCCCCTGGGCACTCCTGTAAACTACCTATGAGTGTGTGATACTGTGAACCTTTTTAATTTTTAAATCATGTATTTATTTTGGGTCTTGAATCTTTGCACACAGACACAGCAGCACAAATGTGCTTTTTTTTATCTGATTAATTGCACTTTCAGTTCCTCTCTGTACTACATGTATATCATGAGATCACATGAAACCTCACTGGAGTTCTTGAGAGGGCAATTCACCTTGGCTTTGTGGGTGGGCTGGCTATGGGTTTCAGTGTGTGTTTGGTCAGGGGAAAGACAGGGTCCTCTACGTGGCACCTCTGTCTGAAATCTGTGCTCCAAACCTCTGGACTACCGAATTGCCGGTGACCTGTAAAGTGAGTCGGGTCATTGGCACAGGAAAGAGGGAAGGAATTATTACTGTCTTTTCCTCATTTATACAGCATCACATCCCCTTCATCTTCCTCAGCATTCTGAGAATGCTCTTATGTGTCAAGACATTGCTGTCCCTATCTTTGTACGGATTGCTTAGCCCCCTGTTGGAGCTCACTGAGTCACCCTCTGCATGGCATGGGCCTTCTAACAGGCATCCTGAAAAAGGAATCTCCCCATATTTCTCTGATGTGCCCTGGGGCGGGCAGGTGTGCAAGTAATTGCTGCCCAATCTTTGGGAATCGCGTCTGGATGTCACACCAGCCCCCCTCCCCCCTCCCTCAATTCCACATGGAAAAAAGAGAGATTCATCCTCTCTGAACATGTGCGCAAAACAATCAGGTGACTACCTGTCAGCAAGTCAGCCAACAACTTCCATCCACGTCCTTTGGAAAGAGTCTCACTCACTCTTTGAAGGCCCTGCTGGCTCCCGATCTTGTCTAGAAGTAGCATGGGGAAGATGGAGAAGGCACTATTTATATTGTTGCAAAAGAGCCTTTGGCATCATGTCCTCATCCAGAATGACAGTGTATTCCCCTGCTTTATAGAAGTAGAAGCCCGACATGAGATATATGCCTTGATCTGAAGGTAAGGACTCGGCTTTGGTAGAAGCTCTTGGTAGCCATGGCGTGTGGCAAGTTTAAGAGCTCTGCCTTTGGATTTGGAAATGGATTTATACCCCCTTTCTCTTCCTGCAGATTTGGTTCCACTGGCCAGAAGGGAAACATTTTGACATCACTCACTGGCTCAAAGATCACGATTTTTGAAAGTGCTGCTCTTGAAATATTGATATGTTCTACCTGGTGCTCCTGAGGTGTAGCATTCCCTAGGAGACTGACCAAGGGCTCAGAGAGTCCTTATGTCTGCCTCACCTCTTTATGGCCCAAAGTGGCTACCCCTCTGAGAGGCAGGAAGGCTATTCCTTTTAGTCAGAGCTAAGAATTATGGACTTCTTAATATAAATATGACAAATTACTTGGATTCCAGAAGAGACAAAGGCAGTGTTGGGAAATTTTTCCACTGGATGTTAAAGCAGTGGCTTCACCAAAATGGGTAAGAGGTGGGCAGTAGCAAGGAAATCAGGCCATTGTGCACAAGAGACTTGATAGGGTGGTTTGTAATTAAAGCAAGGCATATTTATTGAAATGGCAGTTGAGGTCAGCAACAAGCAGGGCATTAATCCTCTTTACTATTCAGGAACTTCCAGAGACGCAACCCCAAGAACCCTTCCTACTCCACCACCTTTCCATCCAGTTGCATGTATGTTGCATGTATGTCTCTGGCAGGCAAACTGATTGACGTCATTTGTTAAGGGCAGACCTCAAAAGCTTTACCCAGAGCATATGCAAGTTGTCATGACTAACTATGTGATTACTTACCCCACCCCGACTAGGCCTGACAGGGAAGGAAGCAAAGGGTCCATTTATTGGTCTAGGCTCTCCCTGCTTTGAGATTCTTTGTCTACACAAACAACACGTAAAGTAAGGGTTAATGACTGGTTTTGTTATTTTTGATGGTAGGGGTGAAAAAAAAAACAACAACCAAAAGCTATTACTGTGTAGATTAAAGAAAGCAGACACCGTTCTTTGGGAAAGGAAGAGTGAATGAAGAGGGGGCACTGCCAGCCACAAATAAGGAAACAAATCTAATAGTGCAGTAACATTAATTAGAACATTTTTCCCTGGATCCTACATTAGAGTTGTTAGAAGCATGACATTCCATACTAGTCTTTCCAAGTTGAAAAGAAGCTGATTTGATAAATCCCCTTTGCCAACCCCCTACTCCCCTCTCCAACCATTGAGTAGTACTTTGTGTATGTGTTTATGAGGTTTTTAATCTTCCGTTAGCTTCCTGTCACCTGCACTCCACTATTTGATTGCACTAATCAGCAGTATCTTGTAGAAGTTAGCCTAAAAGACAGGAAGGTTTGGGGAATGCATTAATTCATGATGGAGTTAGGGTAGCCAGGGAGGGAAGCTGGGGGAATCCGTGCAGTTACCCTTTTCCTGGTCTCTTTTGAGGAGGTTTTTTTGTTGTTTCCTCAACCCTGTCAGAATTTGCAAAGTCAAATGTAGTGGCTTGTGAAAGTTGTAAGGCACCTCCTTCCCTGTTATTTTCTTTCTGCCACTTCGTAGTGTCTGAAGAATGTAGCTTCCTTTCATCCAGACCTATTACTCTCTACACGATGCCCTAACACCGAGAGTATCATTAAAATCTGCTCCCATCACTGCTCACCGTACACACCCTCCCCTACGAGAGGACTCAAATCTAAATCCTTGCCCCAGCCTCTTTTGGAGGTGGGTTTAAATATAAATCCCCATTCCCTTTCCACCAACTCCCAACTTTTACATTACCCCAAGAAATTGTGATCTTAAGTCGTGTTCAGGGAAGCCCCATTGGGCATGTTAGGCTTTGCCATGAGTTACAAGGTAAGGAAAGGGACCTGTGCTTCAAAATCAGGGCCTCCTAGTTTACATTCATCAAACCAGCATGGAATGTTCAAGTAGTAGTTAGTGGAAGGGCAAGAAATCAGAACTGGGAGGGAATAGATAGGAATTTATATTGAAGTACAGTAGTAACAAACACTCAATTTAGGCCTTTGAAAATTTCTGCTCAAAGAGTGAGGGAGGTGAACTATGGGGGTAGTCTCTGTAAGTTGTGGGATATTGAACAGCCTTGTATCTCTGGGTTTCAGTTCAGCCAAAAGTCCTGTTCTTGAGTCACCTCTGCTGGACCCCCTATACTATTTGCACAGTTACCTCTGTTACCAGAAAAACCAACTGACCTCATTTTGTGGCTGAAAGCTTATTTTGAGTTCTGTTGAGTTGAATACTGCACATACATGAGCTTATTTTCCATCCCTCGCCACCAAAGGAGACCTTGGTGATGTGGGGTGGGGTGGAGAAGCTAGCTGATTTGTATCTGCTACTCTCTAATCTGCATTCAGGAAAGAAAAGGGCTCCCATCCTGCCTTCTGGCAAAAGGAAAAGTGGGCCCTGGCCCACTTGGAGGTAATGGGGTTGTTGGGCATCTTGTACTTCAAATGGTGCATATTGGGGGCAAGCCCCCTGAGACTCTGAGGAGCTGTGCACTTGGACTAGCATAAATATGAATGCTGTACCCCAGTTTGTGCACCCCAGAAAGAGCACTGCACCTGCCAGGGATTGAACAGAAATGTTTATTGATTCCATTATGGAGTCCCCACAAAGGGCCTTTATCATCCTGATACAGTACAGTGGTTCCTTCTGACCAGTGCCCCATCCAACAAACCCAAGGAAGTGTCAGAAGGCCCAAGATGCCACCTGGGCCAGACCTCCTATTGATGGGCTACCATTTGAGGCCAATGAACTACTAAAGCAGTATTCTCCAAAGAGCAGCCCTAAGTGGAGCCTCTAAACATCTCAGGTGTTGAACACCCCCCCAAGTTAATTATTTTTCCCATAGAACGGAGTCATCCACAAGCAAGTGATGAATCCTGATTGTGTCGTGTCACAACTTGGAGTGGTCCCAGTTTTTCCCAGTCTCCCCCATCCCCCCACCCCAACACACTGAAATAATTTGCTGCCTATTGCCTGCACTCTGCACTGTTTGGCTAACCAAGAGGGAGAATACAAGAGTTCTTGGGGAGGAGAGGGAATGATAATGGACCAAGGGGGCAGTTTATCCTCCTGGGACCCTCTCCAGGGACTCGGAATAGCCAGTTTGCCCCCACTTGTCTTTAGATTCCCTGTGGTCTTGTCCTCCTTCCTCAGAAAGGCAAAACCCTTAACTCAGGCCTACGAGGTTGCTTCTGATTCTGGAAGTCTCCAGTTGACACAAGAATAAAAATACCTGCAGTCCATGTCATTTCTTGAGTCTTACTCTGTAAGAGTATCATGTTACAAATGTATGTAAGTAGGTATGTGGTTTATCATATATGGGGGGAGGGGGGAGGGGATAGAAAAAATCCAAACTTCTGTTAATAGTCATGTTTCTATTTTTGCTTTAAGACATGAAGGCCCTTTTTTGAAACCCTTTTTCCCCAGAGAGCTGTAAATTGATGCTAATTGTTCCTTTCTCAGTTGGCGGCATTAACTTTAGTCTTCGTTGAGGAGAGGGAGAAAAGGCAAGATCTATTTATAATGTCTAGTGAATGAATTGCCTTACCCCAATGAGAATGACTCCTGGACCCCTGATTGTTCTCCCTTGAGTGTAAAATCTGTACATAGTCTCCTGAATGACATGCATCCTCTCCTCACCTGTCTTGTCTCCAGTGGCTGCTATTGCTAAGAAGTGGATGGTGTCTGAATTCTTGTACTGTATAAAAGGCATTTCTCTGATATCATTTAGGCTGCAATCCTTCTCCTCAAAACCATCCTGAACCTGAACAACCCGACTTTAGCTAATGCAATACACGTGGTCACTGATGGAGCCTCTTCCACTCTACTGTTTGTCACTGCAGATGTGCAGCTTGTGTCCTGCTCACCCCTGGGTTACTCCTGTTTGTTCTCTCTACAGTAGCTCCTTGTTGGCCTCCTTCTGGTGGCAAAATTGCATTGATGTCTGACTGATCCAGTCTCACAGCGTAACTGATTTAAACCAACAAAAAACCTTGTGTGTCTTAATCCTCAAAGAGGGTTCCCATGTACTCAATCCCCCTTTTGTCTGGTATTTGACAATCGAGGCGTGGCCTCCTCTTTCACGCTGTCTCTCAACCCAGAACCGTGAATTCTTCTGTAGACCCTTGCCACCACTGCTGACACAGAATAACACTTGTATGCAAATCCCCTATCCTGATCTTCCCCACCTCTTTTTACTTTGAAAAGATGATCTCTAATAAATAAGGTGACAAAGCATTGGTCTCTGCCCCGTGTGTGTGTCTCTTAAATTCCTAGGATAAGCTTTCTTGATGTGCTGTGCAGTGTAGTTGGAAACATCACACCTCCTTTTGTTTGACTATTTGAAAGCACTTTCAGAGTCAGAGAATACCTGGGATGAAAGAGACTTTAGAGCCTACAATGGGAGAGCTGAAGGGGGCCTTGGAAACAAGCACATAAAATTGGGAGGAACTAAGCAGCTTAGGGATGACTCATTTTACCAATGGAGAAATAGAGGGGAGGCGGGGGGGGGGGGGGGGGGGGAGTCTTCTTTAGAGCCTTGCTGAGTTTGTGAGAGATTATGAAGGAACTAGTACTGAGTTCAAGACCTGCCTCTGCTATGTACTTGCCTTGTGATCCTGGCAATTCACCTAACTCTTCCACTCATCTTTAAAATGGGAGTGATAGATGATGTCCTATCTACCTTACATGGCAGAATATACAAAAAGCTCTTTGAAAACATTTTAAGTCTGAATATAAGCACTTGCCACCTCACAACACCAATCCCCCCCCCCATATTTATAAAGTGGTTATCATGCCCAGTTTACAGATGAGGATGATGAGGGGAGAAAGGGGGGGAATAAGCATTTATAGAGCACCTACTATGTGCCAGGCACTAAGCTAAGTGCTTTATAAATACCTCATTCGATCCTCATAATAATCCAGGGAGGTAGGTGCTATTATCCCCACTCTACAGTTGAGGTTAAGAGATTTTGGAGTTGCAGTATCTGAGGTTAGATTTGAACTCAGGGCTTCCTGACTCCAGGCCCAACACCATTCACTGCACTGCCTTGATGCCACTAACAACTTCTAACCCTCAACCACGGCACTACACTATACTAATCTATAATTTGATTTTTTATGACCTCTGCCTATAGCAGGAAGGGCTACAAAGATGAATGAGACAGTCCCTGATCTGAGGGACTCCTGGTCTAGCTTAGGGGACGGAATATATATACATGAAAAGAGATCTATCAAAGCGACCATGTAAGTTAGCACCATATGAGTGGGACAGAAATAAGGAGTTCTAGAATCTTAAAGGAGGGAAGAAGTGGCCCCTATGGCCCAGACTGGTTTAGAAAAAGAAAGGACTTAGAGGAAAAAAGGGCTTCAGCAGAGGCAGGAATGCATCTGGTGTACTTAGAATTTGAGAATTAAGTCCTACAGCTGAGAAAACGTGCAGGAAAACAGGAAAGTGAAGGTAAGAAAGGAATGAGGAGAGAGAACAGGCTTTTAACAGGAGGCCAAGGTAAAAGAAACCTGTAGCAGTGACAGCCACTGATGTGTCTGTGGGGAGAGGACCTGAGCTAGAGGCAAGGTGGTGGGTTAAGAGAGATTTTTATTAGCAATATTTAAATTCAGCAAAAAGCCTGTTCTCTAAAGTACCTACTATGTGCAGAGCATAGTACAAGATGCTAGAGAAGACAGTTCAGAAAAGACATAGTCTCTTGGCCTCCTCTTGGACATTAGTCTGATAAAGGGATGAGAACACTGTAAACTAATCCCCCTGACGGTAATTACCTTATTCAGAGCACTTTCAGGACTTGTATTTTAAAAGCATCTAGTCAACATGCCTGTGTTCTCTGCCTCTTAACACCTTCCACCAATTTTGTTCCCCATCTGGGCCCTGTACCCACTGTACTATTCTTGATGAGCTCAGTGACCTTGTAGCTACATTGAAGCCTGAAAAATCTTATCTATCCCCCACCCCAGTACTCCTTTCTAGGACACACTGTCCCCAGGTTGCTAGAGACAGACAGCAGCCACAGAATTAAGTCTGACCAAAGCCGGTAGTTTGGGAGGAAAGCATAAGGGCCATCCCAACCATAACTAGAGTTAGGGGGATGAGGCCCTGGCAACACAGCACCTAACTAACAAAGCTACCGGGGACTACATCTGTGTGGGCAAGTCACATAACGCTCTGGGGCTCAGTTTGCTCATCTGTAAAAGTGGTTTGGACTAACTGGCCTCACCTCACTTCCAGATCCAAACCTATGATCTTACAAGTATACAATATTACATATTCTGTTCACTGCGTTGCTTAATTTGAGTTAACACATTTTCTGTTACTCAGGAAGGCTCACTAGGTTTGAGGATAGGAAGGAGAGGGGTATATTGGGAAAATGACTGATGATTTAAAAACAGTAGGCATCAATAAAACTTTGACAAATTAAATAGCAAAATGAAGAAGCCACCTGATGGCAGCTTCGTCCTTCAGTGCCTGGCCCCACACTGCTCCCCTCCAGGACAAACCCTTCCCTCTCAGAGGGCTGGTATTCTGGTATCTCCCCCATCACTCTCCCCAACTGAAGAGGCCTCATCAGAAGACACTGGTAGTGCTGCTTGTTCTGTGGATCAAAATTGTTCACTACACTCTAAGAAGCCATCGAATGTCAGAGCTAGAAGCACCCTTGGAATATACAGCAAACACTCAAGGCTGAGAAAAACCTTAAAACATAGACTGGTGGGGCAGCTAGAGTAGCGCAGTGGATAGAGCACCCAGCCCTGGACTCGAGAGGACCTGAGTTCAAATCCAGTCTCAGATACATAACACTCACTAGCTACGTGACCCTGGGCAAGTCACTTAACCCCAATGCCTCAGAAAAAAAAAAAAGAAAAAGAAAAACCATAGACTGGTAAAGCTGGGAGGGTCCTTATAGGTGGTCAAGTTTACGTGAAGACAGCAAATAGAATAAGGGATGTTACTGACCTGGGGGCATGGAGAAGGAGAAATCTTATGGGAGATCTATAGGAAATTGATCCAAACATAATCAATCAACAGGTATTTATTTAGCATATACAATATGCCAGGCACTGGAGGTACAAATAGAAAAAAAAAAACAATCCCTACACACAAGGTGCTTACCAAGAAGGACATATGTTAAATATATTTTCAGTCATTTTTCAGTCCTATCTGACTCCTGATGACTCTATTTGGGGTTTTCTTGGCATGGCACTCTATCCACTGGACCACTTAGCTGCCCATATTTACACCACTAATATCAATAGCCTCCTAAATTGGCCTCCCAGTCAAAAGTCTCCAAAATCATTTTCATAAACTGCAGGCCTGACTGTATTACCCTCTCTTCCCGTCCTCTCCCCCCAGCAAACTCCAGTGGCTTCCTACTACCCATAGGAAAAAATATCTGCTCAAGAATAATAACAGCTAATAATGATAGATAATACGTCCAAAGCAGCGTGCTAAACGCTGGAGAGTTAAAGAAAGGAGCGAACAGTCCCTGCCCCCAAGGAACTCACAATCTAATGGAGAAAAAGCCCTGTTTTACTTTTAAAGTTGTTCGCAGCAGAGTCCCTTCCTACGGTTCCAGCCTCCACACACTCTGTGACGGGGATGAATAGGCCTTCAGGCTGTTCCACATGCTCAATACTGCATTTCCCCACTCCGAGCTTTTGCACTGTCTCTTCTGCCTAAATGCACTCCTCACCCCCACTCCTTCCAGGACTCAACACAAACTCGCCTTCTGCATGTTACTCCCTCCCCATCCCCCGGTTCTCTGCTCGGAAGACGGTGCGAACAAACCTTTACACGCGCACGCAGTCTCCTGTATGAGAATGAACGCAGACACTACACCGTTTTTGTCTTTCTACCCCCAGCCCTTAACACAGAACCTGGCACACAGCAGGCGCTTAATGAATGCTCGCTGATTGATTGGGAAGCGTGGAGAAATGGCTTTATAGGAAAAGATAAGTTTTGTTTCAGAGAGAAATAGTAGCAACCCACGGGAACTGCCGAGGTCTCCAACAGACGAAGTAACTCCTCCACCAAGTTCTGCGTGGAATTGGAGCCCAAGCCATTTCCCAGGACCCCGCCTCCCGGAACGTCACTTCCGGGTTGTTATCCTCCAATGGAACACTCTGCCTGGCCTCTGGCAAAAAAAAAAAAAAAAAAAGCAAGGAGCTAGGACTGTTCGAAAGAATGCCTGAGAAAAGTGAACCACAAAGAGAAGGCGGCCTGGGCCACGCCTGCCCTTACTAGGAAAAAATGGAGACCAATTGGAGGTGGAGAAAGGGGAAGGGGTAGTTCTGCTTTTTTGGAGGCAGCCAATTTGGGGTGTGGCATTTATTTATTTATTTATTAATATTAAGCAAACTGGCTCTGCCTAGAGCAGCCGCAGCCTGCGCCGGGCATAGAAGAAGGCCCTCCCCAGTCCAGGGCCTTCCTCCTCTGAGGCGCGCGGGGCTAGCGGTTGTATCCGGGTTGGCTGATGGGTCGGAGTTGGGAGTCTCGCTCGCTGTCTCGTTCGTGTTCACGCTTGCGCTCCCCCGGCTCCAGAAGCCGCAGGCGGCGACGGAGCAAAAGCCGGAGCCGGAGCCGGAGCCGGAGCCGGAGTCGGAGTCGCGATGGACGGCGGCGACGCGAGAACAGCGAGTGGAGAAAGAGGCGGCGACGACGGAGCCGGAAGCGGAGAGCGGGGTGAGGAGACCCCCTGGGCGCTGGGTCACGAGGGCCTGCCCTGCGTGTGCGTGTGGGTGTGTCTGGGGTGGTCCAGTGTGCTCTGCCCTCAGCGAGAGGATATTGGTGGGCCCTTAGTGGGTGGGTGGGTTGCCAGACCCCCGCCCCCGTCGTGCGTAGGCCGCTCGCGTCGCAGGGGTTAGAGCGCTACCTGGGTTTGAATCCGGCCTCAGACACTAGCTTTTTAACCCTGGACAGGTCACTTCACCAAAGTCTCTTTGCCTCGGTTTCCTCAACTATAAAATAGGGACGACAACAGCACGTACCTCCCAGGATTGTCTTGAGGATCAAATGAGATAGTGTCTGTGAACATATAAAACTTCCGTTTTGCAAGTACTGGCTCCTTTTCAGTGAGTGCCCTCCACATCTCCATCCCAGGCCCTCTTCTCTCCCAGTGACCTCATTGGCTTTCCTGGGTTCACGCAGTCTCAGAGTTGGTCACCTAATGTAACACCTCATGCACCTGAACGTGAATTCCCTTCTGCAATAAACAAGACAGTGACTATCAGGCCTCTGCTTGAAGGCCGGTGAAGGCAAACTAACCACCTCCAGAGGTGGCCTATAACTTCTTTTGGACAGTTTGGATGGTCAGGAAGTTAATGGAAAGCCTCAGTTTGCCTCTGTACTTTCTACCCATTGCTTCTGCCCCCTACTAGTCAGTAAAAGTCTAATCAGTCCTCCATATAACTGTTCTACCTTCCTCATCATCACCAAGTGGATGTCACTTCTCCTGGGTTTGAATGGACCCTCAAAGGACCCAATGCAAACAAGTATTTTTGGAGGTTGCATGGTACAATGGAAAGAACACTGGCTCAGGGTCAAAGGACGTGAGTTCAACTCTTACCTTCCCCGTGTACCAGCCACTTGACCTCCTTCAATCTCAGTTTACTAATCTGTAAAATTAAAGAATTTGGCTAGATGGCCTCTGAAGTCCCTTCCAGCTCTAGATCTATGATTCTGTGACTCCCAGGCCTCTATATCCAGCCCTGCTCTCTACCCTGAATTTCATTCTTGTGTTATCACCTGTCAGGAGACATTCGTCTGGATAGTCCACAGGTCTCTTAAACTTATCATATCCAAATGTGAACTCATCTGTTGCCCCAAACCCACAACTTTCTCTAACCCATTCCTGTTTCTTTGGGTCGGCTCCAGCATCCTTCATTTCACCCTAGTTCACAACCTTGGAGTTATCTTTGACTGTTCCTTCCTCCTTCTCCTCCCATATTCAGTTATTGCTAAATATTATTAGTTCCACCCCCTTAGCATGTCTTACATCTGTCCTGCTTTCTCCAGTTATTCAGGTAGCACCATAGTTCAGGCTCTTAACACATTACTGCAACAGCCACCTAATTAATCTTACTTCCAGTTTCTCCCTTCTCTCTAATCCATGTTCCACATAGCTGTAAAATTAATTTTTTTTATTTCAGAAAACACTTTACTGAGCAACCTAGGAGATCTTTCAGGAAAGAAGATAAAAATATCTTGTTATTAATCTCTGAAAATAGGTTATACAACTGTAATCACTTGCATACCAAAGGCTGCTTGAGGTTAAAGGACTAGCCTTTTAAAATTTCTTTTTTTATTGATCCCTTTTGTTGTTGCATCACTTTCATTTCTTTTTTTTTTTTGGCTGGGCAGTGAGGTTAAGTGACTTGCCCAAGGTCACACAGCTAGCAAGTGTTATGTCTGTGAGGCCAGATTTGAATCCAGGGCTGGTGCTCTATCCACTGTGCCACCTCGCTGCCCCATCATCACTTTCATTTCTGATTGTAACTTCTCCAGTCATGTCTACCAGTCTTTCAGTATTGCGTGATATAGTTTTTACCTGAGCCTGGCGGCTTGATCAAGAGTAGGTAGTTGGTACTCTTTTACTCTCTCCCTGTTGTCTTGAGTTTCAAATGCCTGGGAGCCATTTTAGTCCTTCTTCTGAGTGGAGAAAAGAAGCAAAGTGAGAGCTGAGCAACTAACTGCATGGTCTGTCATTGATTAGAATTATCTTACTATTTCTTTGATGATCCTTTTTCCTAATACTGCTTTTTTTTTTAAGGCAATTAGGGTTAAGTGACTTGCCCAGGGTCACACAGCTAGTAAGTGTCAAGTGTCTTGTCTGAGGCCAGATTTGAACTCAGGTCCTCTTGACTTCAGGGCCAGTGCTCTATCCACTGCTCCACCTAGCTGCCCCTCCTAATACTGCTTTTAAAAAACTCTTAATTGTCTTTGGTCTTTACACTTGTCATTTCACATTACCTTCTTTGAACCCTTCTTGTGACACAGAAAATTAAGCAAAAACAACCAATACAGAAACCTTGTCTGACAGTGTATACGATGTTTTGTCCTTATAGTGTCCTGCCAGTCTGCTGTAAGGGAGGCCATGAGGGATTGGACCACTGTCTCACAGGGAGCATCAGAGTCACAATTTGAACCCAGCTCCTTGGACTCTAAAGCCAGTGCTCTTGCCTCTGTACCGCTTTAATAGTACTTGCCTCTGCTGTTTTTGAAGTTATCATTAGGACAAGTCAAAAAATTGTTAGCCACACTGCTTTGGGCAGAGAGCTGTAACAGACATCCAGGTAATTGAAGCTCACCCCGCCCCCCCATCAATCTGTCTCATGATTTTATGCCAGCCTTGTGATCTTCTTACCCAAACGTTTATTTCCTTTCTGTCCAGGTGGTCTGTGATATGTGCAGTGACAGTATCTCTTTGGCTTTTACCTGTGTAGGTCTGTGCCCAAACATACTTTGCCATGCTTCCTCTTGCTCCATATTTTTTCGTAAGAAGTTATCTTCTTAATGTCCGGTGCTGCTCTGCTCCTGCTTTTTCCAATCTGTTTCTTTTTGAATACGGTATATGCATTGAAAACCCTGTTCTAGGCATGGATCTCATTCCACCAAATCTCAGTCATACTTCCTAGTTCAAATTTGATGTCTTGCATTAGGATCTCTATTTTGTGGATTTTATTGCTGGTCCCTTTTTTGGATTTTGTCTCCTCTAAAATTTCTGGGTGTTTTTAATTGCTATTCATTTTCCTGCATTGTAGCTGTCCATGGTATCTGGCTATAACAAGAATAATAATAATAGCTGAGTTTTAAGTCATAGTTTAAGGTTTGCAAAGCACTTTACATACATATCATTTGATCCTCGCAGCAGTCCTCTGAGGGAGGTGCTATTATTATCCTCATTTTACAGGTAAGGAATCTGAGGCTCTGGTCAAATGAATTGCCCAGAGTCCCATGGCTAGAAAAAGTTTTGAGTTGCAATTAGGTCTTCCTGAGGCCAAGTTTGGAGCTGTCTCCACTAGGCCACACTGCTGACATACATTGTCAGTTTTTTCTCTCCTCATACCTTTTCATTGTAAAGCCTTTTTGATCGTATATTCATAATTGCAGGTACATTTATTCTTTTTAAAAAATAATAATAATGAATTCATTATTTTTAACTTTTTTTCAAGTTTTAAGTTCCACATTCTCTCCCTCCTTCCAGTTTCTTCCCCACCCATTGAGAAGGCAAGAAATATATACATTTACTGTTGCTAGGTTCCTCTGTCCAGGAATCTGCCATTCCCATACTTTAAACTATAAAATAATAAGGTTTGACTAGATGATCTTTAATTTTCTTCATATTTTCTCTGACATTCTTTGATCTGTGATCCTATGGGAAATCTCTCCCTGCTATCTTCACGTCACAGGATCTACAAGTTGAGAGTTAATGTAGAGTTAATAATAAAACCTTTGGTATCTTTCATAATGAAAGATATTTTTATTTATTCCACAGATCAGATTCTGAGGAAGAGCGACATAGGAGGAAATCAAAGAAATATCAGACCTCTGAAAGGAACCAGAGAGGCCCAAGAAAGCCACAGCCCCAATCTCGGGAGCCTTCCCAGTCAGATTCTGGAAGTGAGCCACGGAGGGGCCACAGGAGCAGACACAGGAGGAGGCGTCATGATTCTAGATCGTCCACCTCCTCAGCATCTTCTATATCCCCTCCACCGCCCCGCTCTCAGAGCCCTCAAGAGGCCCTGGACAAGAAATTGAGCCTCCAGGAGCGACGGAGGCTGAAGGAAGAGAAAAAGCAGCAGGAAGAGTTGATGAAGGCCTTTGAGACACCAGAGGAGAAACGGGCCCGGAGACTGGCAAAGAAGGAGGCCAAAGAACGGAAAAAGAGAGAAAAAATGGGCTGGGGTGAAGAGTATATGGGCTACACCAATACTGATAACCCCTTTGGAGACAATAACCTGCTAGGAACATTCATATGGAACAAGGTGAGGCCTTGGCTGCAACCTTCCCAGGACGCGTAGCAGTGCAGCTGGGCAGGGACAGCAAATCATACAACCAGCAGAGACCTGAGATCATAATGTTTAATAACCTGTTTTAACAAATAGGGTAATCATGGTTCAGGATGGGGAACCAATCAATCAGTAAGCATTTATTTGACTCTGGGCCAGTTACTGTAGTAGGCCCAGGGGACACAAATACAAAAATTAAACATTCCTTGCCTTCCAGGAGTTTACGTTTTATGAGAAATGTCTTTTCCAAGGCCATGTTGCCAGTCATTGACCAGAAGGTAGACTAGAGCCCAGAATTCTTGACTCCCAGTCCATGATTTTCCTGCTATATTTTGCTGGCTCACTTCTGGTCTTCTCACCCCTTGTGCCCTGGCCCATTTGGTCACTCAACTTTTTATATTCTTCCTTCGCAGTATCTGTTGCATCCTTTCCCCCCCCCCTCCCCAGTTCATAGGATCCCACAGTCAGAGGGGATCTCAGATCATCTAGTCTAACTCTCCCTGAAGTATAAATCGTCTCTATAATGCCCACCATCAAATAGAAAGCCAGCCTCCACTTAACTTCCAATAATGTCTCTAAATAGCTCTGATTGTTTATCTTCATATCAAGCTGAAGCTTCCCTATAATGTCCAGTAAGCCAAGTTTCTATCAAGCAAAATAATCCTAATCATCTCCACAACAGACCTTAAGATAACTTCAGTGAATGCAAATTTATTAAGTATTTATTGTGTGCTAATAAGCACTGGGGATACAGATATTAAAAGAGAGGCACCCCTGCCCTCAGGGAACTTACATCCTAGTAGGCGAAAACACATATATCGGAGAATGATGGCCAAGAATAGAAGCTTCGGTCTGAGGACAGTCACCTGACACGGGCAGTGAGCTGACTTACGTGACATACCCTCTTATTGCTGATTTGGTTACTGTGCCCAGAGCAAGAATGGGCTGAAGGTAGAAGTAGAAACCATTGGAAATAAGAACCATGGCAGTTCCTCTCTAGGGGTCAGGGAGTGCTTAGTTCTCCTTTGATTAATTCAGGAAGATTTCATGAAGCAGTCTTCTTTTAGGAAATCAGTACAGCGTAGAGTGTAGCCTAGAAGTTTTTAACCTTGTGTTCCCAGACCCCCAAGGAATCCATGCATAGATTTCAGAGGAAGGGAGAAAAAAGGTTACATCATTATATCTGTATTTCCATGTATTTGGTTTCCTTTGTGTTTTATGCATTGAAAACATTATTTTGGATTCGTGGGCCCATGACCCAAGAAAAGTTAAGAACCCCTTATTCGATGGAAGGAATGTTGGATTTAACGTCAGGATTCCTAAAGCTTGCTTGGGCATGAGATCCTAAAGCAAGCAACTGAACAAAGCAAAGAGCCCGGCAGTTTCCTCTTCTGCAAAATGTGAGGGCTGCTTCAGTTGATCAGCAGCGGTCACTTCCAACTGCACGGGCTCTGATCCCGTGACCAGCTGACTGGGGTAGTCTTTACCTTCACTACCTTGCAGTGTAGTGGAAAGCTGAGGGGACATTAAGATCCCTCCTTATCGCTGTACTCTCTCCTGGTGAATTTGCACAAGGCCGTTGCGTAGGCCCTTTGTAGATGCCAAACTGGGACTCAGCCGGTCATGGGTGTGTCTTTTCCAGGCACTAGAGAAGAAGGGGATCAGCCACCTGGAAGAGAAGGAGCTGAAGGAGAGAAACAAGAGAATCCAGGAGGACAATCGACTAGAATTGCAGAAGGTAGGAGTTCAGCCCAGCCCCACCGCCAGGGCCAGGCACCATCTCCTGGCCCTCAGGCCTCCCCCCCTTTCTGTAGTTCCTTGCTAGGAATAACTCGTTTCCTCCCCTCAGTTGCGCCGCCCCACCCTCATGACAGCTCTTCCCCCGTTTCTCAGGTGAAGCAGCTGCGCTTGGAGCGAGAGAGGGAGAAAGCCATGCGGGAACAAGAGCTGGAGATGCTGCAGAGGGAGAAGGAGGCGGAGCACTTCAAAACGTGGGAGGAACAGGAAGACAACTTCCACCTTCAGCAGGCCAAACTTCGGTGTGTCCGTGTCTGCTGCTTGTGATAGCAAGGGGTGACGCTGGAGTCCGGGTGGGAGGGGGAAATGCCTGAAGTTAGGACACATCCCCTCGGACTCTGTGGCTTTGAGTGCTGATCTCCACCTTCCTGGAGCTGTCCCATCAGAAATAAAGTCCTTATTGAGCAGTTAAGGGAAAGAGGAGGGGCTTTGTCCTCACCAAGGATGTCCAGTATTCCCAAGGCCAGCTCAGGCGCACTGGCAATGAAGACGGGGGCCACCGCCAGGTTAATCAAGAGCACAAGCCTGGCAGGGATTAAAGGAAACCTCGAGCAGAGCGCTTTGAGGGCTGGCGAGGTATGGATCTCGCTGTCCAGAATCACGGAACCGAGGGACATTTCCTCACCCGTATGGGAGGAGATGCAGGAGCCCAAAGGCAGCTGGATTCATGGGCCCTTCTCTTCCCCCCGCCCCTTTCTCCGCACTGTCTTTGCACTGGTGAAAAGTACTCCCTTCAAGGCTGAACGTCATTTGTTAGCTTGCCAAGTTCTCGTTGATTTGTATGTTCCTGGGGTCGGGGAAGGCGGGGCACGTAGCCTGATACTTATCCACCCCCATGAGCTTTGGCTCCAAGCACTGACCAGCTTGTGTACCCTCTGCCCACAGCTCACTACCAGTCTGTGAACCCCATGAAGATTATGGCTGTGACCACACACTGAGCTTAGTAAGCCCTGTGGTGCGTTAAGGTTAACAGAGTACTTTGGTCACAATATCCATTGGAGACCCAGTGCAGCCATTACTACATTTTGTAGGTGTGGGAACTGCAGCCCAGCAAGGTTGAGTGACTTGTGTCTGACTGCCCAGCCAGAAAGGATTGGTGCTGGGCTTTGGTCCATGGGCCACTTTTCTTTCTTTCTCCATCCATCTCACAGGCTCTCTTACCATGGCCACACATGTCATAACCAGACACCACACTCTGTAGCCCTTACTCGATAACCACTGAAAAGCTAATTCACTGCATTGCTGTCTGCAGTTCTAAAATCCGCATAAGGGATGGACGTGCCAAGCCCATCGACCTCCTAGCCAAGTATATCAGTGCAGAGGACGATGACCTGGCTGTGGAGATGCACGAGCCCTACACCTTCCTCAATGGCCTCACAGTGTCAGACATGGAAGACCTTCTGGAGGACATACAGGTATCCACCTTCAGTCCCAAGCAGGGCCCTTCCTCATGTAGCAGTTTTCCTCACTAGGCCAAGGAGTAGTTCACCCAGCTTTCCTTCACCCTGCTTGTGATCCCACCCTCTGCCAGTTTCTCTGCCCCTCGTCCATTTGTAGTGCTCTCCTACCTCCACCCCTTTTACTCACACTATTCCCTAAATTGAGAATGTCTCACCTTCCCTCTCCTTCTTCTGGTTTCTGCCTTGATTTTACCCTTCAGATGCTGCCTCCCTAGATCGATCTCCCCATTGAGAAGTGGTCTTTTCTTCCATCTCTTCTATTCTGTTTTGTATTATAGTTACCATTTAATACGTATTTGGATCATACCCTATTTGCTGGATTATAAGCCCTATCAAAACAAGGACAAACACGTACTGATTTTTAGCTCCTGCCTGCAGTGTAGCACTGCACTGTGTACATATATTGAGCCTTTAATAAATGGCTGGCTGGTGAATGAATGGATGGATGGATGGATGGATGGATGGATAGACAGATGGTCAGATGGATAGTCTTTGCACCTTTGCTCCCACTATTTAGAAACAAAAGACATGGAGCCCAAGTCCTGATTCTGCTTACTGTCTGAAAGACTTTGGCAAGTCACTTAATGTTTCTGGGCCTCAGTTTCCTTATCTGTAGCAGGATCAAACTAGATCATCTCTGAAGTTCATTCCAGTTCTCAGTCCTGTGAACCTAGAAAACTGTTCCTCTTATTACCTTTCCAAAACTTCCCCATCTTTCAAAACCCAACTGAGTATGCACTTCTTCCAGGAAGATTTTCCCTGACAAACCTGCTTCCTTTCACTCTTCCAAGATCAGACAGAGTAAGCCCTCTCCTTAATGATATTTGGCAGTTTCTCGAGTCTGGATCACAAGTTTTTTCTACTCTTCCAATTTTAGGTATACATGGAATTGGAACAGGGCAAGAATGTAGATTTCTGGAGGGATATGACCATCATTACAGAGGATGAGATCTCCAAACTTCGCAAGCTTGAGGCATCTGGAAAGGGGCCAGGTAACTGTTGGGCACACATACCTAAAGGCACTGATCCATCATTTGGTCTCAGTCATCGGGGTAATGGTAGGGGAGATGGTTACCTGGGTCATTTTTTTTTTTAAACAAGGGTACATTAGAAAGAGCTTTGGCCAGGAAAGCAGGCAACCTGGTTTCAGTCCCAGTACTGCCAGGTTTATGATGTGATCTTGGGAAAGTCCCTTCTCCTGTGTGAGCTGTGATCCTCCTCCCCCAAATATGAAAACAAAGCAGTCGCACTATTGTCTTTAAGGTCCTTTCTAGCTCTTGACATTTTTAAGCTGAAAAATAGCATTGAAATGGCATTGGTCCCATTTATGCAGTTTCTGTTATGGCCACTGGGGAAGCCACCAGGACAGGTCTTATCCTAAATTTATTTCATGGATAGTCACTCAGTTCATTCAGTAAACATTTTAAGTGCCTACTGTATGCCAGGCACTGGGGATTCAAAAAGAGGAAAAAGAGAGTCTCTGCCCTTGAGGAGCTCACAGTCCCTACTGATAGGCTTGTGAAAACTGGAAGCGTTCTTAAAGATCTAGTCCAGTCCTCTCTCTTTACAGATGAGGACACTGAATCCCAAAGAGGTCAAGTGGTTTGATCAAGATATAACTAATTAATGGAAGAGCTTGTACTAGAACTTGAGTCTTCCCTTCACGTTCAGTGAGCAGTGAGTTTGGAGGCTGAGGACCTGTGTTCTCATTCTGCCTCTGCTACATATTGCCTATGGGGCTTTGGGTAAGTTGCTTAGCCCTGCTGACCCTCAGTTTTCTCATCTGTAAAAAGAGGGGGTTGGTCTATTTGATTTCTAAGGTGCCTTCTAGCTGTAAAACCTTCAATCCCACAAAATGTCTGCAATAGATGTATCTTGACTCTCTACTGAGTACAAATAATAATGTGTCCAAATGAATGACACAGATAGTGCTAAGCACTATATGAACCCATAAGAGGATGAGATCGAGCGCTATGCACAGGGGAAAGGTCAAGAAAGGCTTCCTGGAAGAAGTGATTAATCAACAAACATTTATTGAGCATCTGTTGTGTGCCAGGTACTATTCTTACCTCTAGGGATTGAAAGACAAAAAAAACCTGAAACAGTCATTGCCCTTAAGGCACATATATTCTATCAGGGAAACAACTTGTACACAAATAAATTCAAAACACATACAAAGTCAGGCAGCCAGTTGATAAACAGTGATTAAGAACCTGCGGTGTAGAGAGCCAGGCATTCTGCTAAGTGCAGGGGGTACAAAGAAAAGCAAAAGATAGTCCCTACTTTCAGGAAGCTCACAGAAGGAAACAGCTCTGTACAAACAAGCTTGATAGGGCGGAACTGGAGATAATAGAGGGAAGGCACTAGAATTAAGGGGAATCAGGAGAAGCTTCCTGTAGAAAGTGGGATTTTAGCTGGGACTTGAAGGAAGCCAGGAGGCAGAGATGAGGGGGGAGAGCATAGAGGCATGGGGCCAGCCAGGGAAAATGCTGAGAATTGAGGTGGGATGTCTTGTGCAAGGAGCAGCAAGGAGGCACACCACACATAGGTGGGGAGGAAGGTATGAGAATACTGGAAATGTATGAAGGGGCCAGACTTGGAAGGGTTTTGAGTGCAAAAGAGAAAATTTTATATTTGATCCTGAAGGTGATAGGGAGCCATTGGAATTTATTGCGTAAGGGGGTGACACGGTCAGACCTGTGCTTTAGGAAGACCACTTTGGCAGCTTCATGGAGATTAGACTGGAGTGGAGAGAGACTTGTGTCAGGGAGACCGACTAGTAAGCTGTTGGAATAGTCCGGATGTGAGGTGATGAGACCTTGCGCTGTGGAGGTGTCCATGTCGGAGGAGAGAAGGGAGCAGTTACCAGAGATAGCACAAAGGTAAAAATCAACAGACCTTGGCAATAGATTGGGTGTGGGAGGTGAGGGAGGAGTTGAGAATGATACCTATGTTGGGAGCCTCAACAGTGGGACATCCCCGTAAGCAGGCATGATCTGATTGAAGATCCAGCAAAGGCAGCTCAGAGGGAGCAGTCCCGTAAGTAGGAGGGAAACCTGGATAGAGCAGTAACAACCTAGAAAGAAAAGGGTGGCTGACAGTGTGAGAATCTGCAGAAAGATCAGGAAGGATGAAGATTAAGAAAAGGCCAATAGATTTGGCAATTAAGAGGTTGTTAGTAAATTTGGAGAGAGCATTTTTGGTTGAATAGGGAGGCTGAGAAGAGAAAAGGATAAGGGTATAGCCAGTGTAGGTAGTGGCCTAGGGAAGTATTAAGGGGATCGAAGGATTGGAAGTCATGGTGAGGGCAAAGAGCAGGGTTTGGGGTTGCAGAAGGGAGGAGAGTGTAGGTCTGTGCCAGGTGGTGGCCTGAGAAAGTGGTCAGTTACAGGTGGTGGGGAACCTGCAGCCTTGAGGCCACGTGTGGCCCTCTGGGTCCTCAGGTGAGACCCTTTGACTGAATACAAACTTCCCAGAACAAATCCTTTTATTAAGAGGATCTCCACCCCTGGCAGGAGATTGGAGGTCACCTTGAGTTTGGAGAACAGGGTTTGGGGTTGCCAGGCAAAGAAGGAGGTAGAGTCATGACAAGAGTAGTGATTAGATAAGGGAATTTGAGAGTTCATAAACATGGAAGCAGAACATTTGTGGGCGATGACAAGGTCAAGAGTGTGACTATCTCTTTAGCTGAGATGTGGTGGAGAAGGAGTTAATGCAGGGCACTTTTGGCAGGAGGCAGCCCTAGCAGCTAGTGGATTGGAAGAAGCCCTTCTGTAGGAGGTGGGGCTGGAACTGGGCTTTAAATGAGGATGGGGATTCTTAGAGAGGTGAGGAGGGAGTCAATTCAGACATGAGGGAATAGCCTGTGCAAAGACCCAGTGCCAAAAGATGGGCTGTCTTGTGTGAGAAACTACACAGACTCTATGAAGGGCAGTAATCTTCTGTGATAAACTTGGAAATGTTGGCTAGAACCCGGTTGTGTAGAAGAGGTTGTATGTTATCTTGGAGGCAATAAGATACTAATGGAGCTTTTTTTTTTTTGTAATCTGGAAAGTGACATGGTCAGACCTATGCTTTAGGAGTAGTTATCTGTGAAAAGGATAGACTAGGGAGGAGAGACCGATTGGGGCATATGCAACAACTCAGGCTGTGAGTGATGAGGGCCTGAATCAGGTGGTGCCTATATGTTAGGGAGATAGACCCAAGAAAACTTGGAAACTGACTGGATCTAGGGCTTGAAGAAGAGTAAGGAAACAAGGGTGACTCCTAGATTACTGGGAAACGGTGGTACTCTTGACAGAAAAAGGAAAGTTAGGAAGGGGGATAAAGGAAGCAAGAGAACACTGAGTCATGTTGGGCATTTGAATTCTAGGTGTCTGCATGATGTTGAGTTTAAAATGTCCAATGATTGAAACTCAGAAGAAACACTAGGCCTGGATGTATAGAATGGAGAGTCATTTGAATAGAAATGGTAGTTTAGCTCATGGGAGCTCATGAGATCACCAAGAATCATAGTGTAGAGAGAAGAAAGAGGTCCCAAGACAGCAGAGAAAAGGAGCTGCCTTCTCGGTAGGACAAGAGAGTGCAATGTCACAAGAGCCCAGAAAAGAAAGATGGTCAGCAGAGGCTTGCTGGAGTGAGGTCAAGAATGGAGAGGCCTGAGAACAAGCCTTGTGTTTGTCACTTTAGAGGTGGGCAGAATGTGTGTACCAATGAGATGACTTCAGGGAGTGTGGAGGACAGATTTTAGGCCATGGACAAAAATAAGAAGGCAGAGCTTTCCATGTTTGTGGGACTGAGGAGACTGGCATTAGTAGAGGAGGGGTTGGGAAACATTGTATGCATGGAGAGATGAATCCCAGGGTGCCACTAGTGGGGTAGATAAGCAGCAAAGCTTGTTTACGGATAGGTTTCTCTCCTAATCTCCCTACAGGAGAACGTCGAGAAGGAGTAAATGCCTCTGTTAGTTCTGATGTGCAGTCGGTATTCAAAGGAAAGACCTACAATCAACTCCAGGTGATCTTCCAGGGCATCGAGGGCAAGATCCGGGCAGGGGGGCCCAACCTGGATATTGGCTACTGGGAGAGCCTGTTGCAGCAGCTCAAGGCGCACATGGCCAGAGCCAGGTGAGGGGCTGGGGCGGAGTGAGGGAGGGCCAGAATACAGGGCTGGGCTCTGAGGACAACATGGTAAATTCTTCTGTGACTTTGGGCAAAACACTGACAGATCTCTTCAGACCTTGCTTCTCCCACATTAGTCAAGTAGAGGTAGTACCTCTTAGCTTCCTCCAAGGTAATTAATGACAGTCTTGCATGAAAGTGCTTTGAAATCCTTTGAAGAGCATGTTGGAACTACAGGGATGGGATGTAATGTCTCCATCTGGCTTATCCCAAACCACTAGTCTGAATCATAGATTAGACCTCAGAGGTAATCTGGCCTAAGCTCCTCATTTTACACGTGAGGAAACTGAGGCCCAGAAAGGACAAGTGACTTGCCCAAGGCTACACAGGCAGAAAGTAGCTGAACTGGAATTCAGACCTGAGACTCTAGTGCCTTTGCCTTTTGCACTCTGTGCCATGCCGCTTCACTGTCCTGAGGCCCTTCACCATTTGGTGCCACCGTACCAGGTTTCCATCCCTTATCCCACACTGTTTCCCCCACCCCCCGATACTTGATGTTCCAACTAAATTGGGCTCAGCAGAACCTTTGCTGCCCCCTCCCCCCCCACCCACTCGGTGTCATGCTGCTCCACATCTCAAGTGTCCTCCTCTCCTCTTTGCTTGGTGATCTGCTGCCTGTCCTACAAAGCGCAGCTCCCAGCGTCTCCTCTGTGCCCATCTGGCACTGAATGAGAAAGAGCAGCCAGGCTTTGCTTGAACACCTCCAGGGAGAAGAAACCCCTAGCCTGCCTTGCCTGGGCTCTAATTGCTAGGAATATTTTCCTTACATTGTGCTGAAATCTCTCTGCAATTTCCACCCATTGTTTCTAATTCTGGCCTCTCAAGCCAAACGGAATGAGTCCAATTCCTCTTCCACAAGATGGCCTTTAAATACTTGAAGAGGGCAGTCATGCCTGGCCCCTATCCTGTCGCCTGATGTGAATGATAAAGGTGTTGGCCATCTTCCCAGGACACAATGAAGGCACCTGGGGCACTTAGGTGGTGCAGTGGATAGAGTACCAGCCCTGGAGTCAGGAGGACCTGAGTTCAAATCTGGCCTCAGATGCCTTACACTTACTAGCTGGGTGACCTTGGGCAAGTCACTTAACCTTGACTGCCTCACCAAAAAAAAAAAAAATACCACAATGAAGGTGCTTCCCAAGCTTGTCTGGTCCATGTCTTCAGACCTCCGACAGCACTTTTCTCTATGCCTCTCTGATGCACTGAACTAGAATATATGATAACTACACGTACCTACATTTGTGTCTCATCCCCCACTAGGGACTGTGCTCACTGAAATAATATCTTCCCCCAGTATCTAGCACAGGCCTCTTTTGCCTGCTAGATGCTGAATTAGCATTTGAATTTACTTTGTTGTACATGCTAGGAGCCTTGAGTAAGGGGCTCCTGTTCCATCCTGAGCTAATTGTGCCATCAGTGGCTTTCCTAACCCACTGACTTGGGTTTTCTTTTTGCCTGTGCATAGGCCCTGGACTGTTTTCAGTCGTAGCTGAGGATGTAAAGTTCCTCAGGACAGCATTTGAATAGAAGAAAAGTCCATCATAGGCGATGCAGAGGAGTAACCCTCTGCCCTCCTGTGTTTCAGGCTCCGTGAGCGTCATCAGGATGTACTCCGGCAGAAACTGTACAAGCTCAAACAGGAGCAAGGCGTTGAGAGTGAACCGCTGTTCCCCATCCTCAAGAAGGAGCCATCATCTCCTAGCGAAAGGTGCGTATTCCCCAAAACAGCAGGGTTTGTCTTCTACAGGAGAAGGTGGGGTACATAAAGGCCTTATTTCTCCTTTCCCCCTGCTTATCCAACCGACCACCCATGGCTTGGGCTGCAGGGAAGGGGTCACAAGATGGTCAGGATATCAGCTCTGAGTTATTCGGATGCCTATGGTTTATTCTTCATTTCTGCTCTGCCCATGCCTGACCTCTGATGTCGTGGTCTTGTGCCATCTACATCTAAGGCTGTCCTTGACTTTGGAATCCTGGAAGGGATGACTACTTGTGCACCCCATTTGGAGGTCACCCTGTTCATCATCCAGGAGAAGAGTCTGAGCCTTAGTCCCAGCCCCCCGGATTTTCCCACAGGAAGTGACCATAGGAGATTTGTTCCCCTGAGTGGGGGACCAGTCCAAGAAGAGAACTAGGCTCCAGAGGTCAGAGAAGTTGCCAGATGATGGACCAGTGGGTCACTCAGGAAAGATGGGGTAGTTTGGAGCTTTTACATGGGCCAACAAGGAGAGTGACCACAGTCTTTCCCAGACTGCTCTGTAGCATCCTCCCGTAGTACCATCCAGGATGTCTGTGTGAGAGAGAGCTTGGTTCCTTGAAGTTCCCTGCAGGTCAAAGGGCGCTGAGCCTCACAAGCTTACCTGCCTCCCCCTTCTGTCCACAGGTCAGAGCCTGAAGAACGGGATCAGGCCCAACCAGGGCCTTCCACCTCAGGTGCCTCAGAGGAGCCAGAAGCGGAAGGAGAGGCCAGAGCCGAGGGCAAGGGGGAAGGGGAAGGCGAGGGCGAGGGGGAAGCTGTGCTAATGGAGGAAGACTTGATCCAGCAGAGCCTGGATGACTATGATGCTGGCAAGTACAGCCCCAGGCTGCTCACTACCCATGAGCTGCCCTTTGATGCCCATGTGGTGGAGTCAGAAGAGGATCTTCAGCGCCTGTTGCTTTCTCGGCAACAGCTGCAGGTCACAGGTATGTGAGGCATGTCTAACACAGCCAGCTGCTTATGCCCCGTTTTCCAGAAGAAGTGGCCAAACAGCTGTTGAGTGGTAGAAATTAGAATCCGCTTTTCTCCCAGTGCTAGCCTCCTTCCCCTGTATAACACCTATCCTCAGAGTTGCCCACAGAGTTGGTGAATGCTAAATCCAGTGGTAACTTGTAGCAGCATGTCCCAAACTTTTCATTCCATGACACCCCTCTGAACTTGGTGGGATCCTCTCCTTTCCTGTCCTATCTCCCTCTCTTTTTTTCTCTCCCTCTCTCCTCTCCTTTGTCCTCTTCTCTCAATTGTGTTAGGCAGTTTCTTATTAAGCATTACTGTGGTGTTTTGTGGGCCTCTAGGTGTCACAGTGGATAGAGAGGGCCCAGGGCTGGAGTCAGGAAGACTCATCTTCCTCAGTTCAGTCTCGCTAGCTGTGTGACCCTGGGCAAGTCACTTCACCCTGTTTGCCTCGGTTTCCTCATCTGTAAAATGAGCTGGAGAAGGAAATGGCAAACCGCGCCAGTATCTTTGCCAAGAAAATCCCAAAAGGCGTCAGAGTCAGATGTGATGGAAACGACTCAACAACGATTGGAGTTCTGTGCCAGCTGACAGTATATTATAGGAAGATTGTAACTTGTAGCATTAGCCTGTGCATTCTCTGGATGGTGGCACTAGTCAGCACCCTTCAGACCACACAGGGGGCAAGAATAAATTAAGATTTTATGAAAAATTTAATAGAAGCTTGGGAGGTTTGTTGATTAGTCAAAGACATACATACTGCCAGCAGAAAGGGATATAAATAGTTAGGGGTGTCCTGGTAATTAGGTAAGAGGTGTGGGGGCAGAGAGACAAAGCCTAGCTTTCCCTTGCCCAGTTTAAAACATGCTTGCAGGCTTTGAACAAGCCCCATAATCCTTTGCCTTCCCTCTGTTTGCCATAGGAGATGCCAGTGAGAGTGCAGAAGACATCTTCTTCCGTCGGGCCAAGGAGGGCATGGGGGCAGACGAGGCCCAGTTCAGTGTGGAAATGCCCCTCACAGGCAAGGCATATCTGTGGGCGGACAAATACCGGCCTCGAAAGCCTCGCTTCTTCAACCGTGTCCACACCGGCTTTGAATGGAACAAGTACAATCAGACCCACTACGACTTTGACAACCCCCCACCGAAGATCGTGCAAGGCTACAAGTTTAACATCTTTTACCCAGACCTGATAGACAAGCGTTCCACACCGGAGTACTTCCTGGAGGCATGCCAGGACAACAAGGACTTTGCTATCCTGCGCTTCCACGCCGGACCCCCCTACGAGGACATTGCCTTCAAGATTGTCAACCGGGAGTGGGAGTATTCGCATCGACATGGCTTCCGCTGTCAGTTTGCCAATGGCATCTTCCAGCTCTGGTTCCACTTTAAGCGTTACCGCTACCGGCGATAGGGTTTGCTGTCCCCAAGCTGTGGTCTCTGAGAGAGGCCAGAGACAGACGGATAGATGGGCACAGCCTCCTTGGGGATCCTCCCTGCAGAGTTGCCCCTTCATGGCTGTTCTTCAGCCTCTTTTTGTTCCGAGGGTGGGGCGCAGGGGTGTATGTTCTTTGCCCTGTGCTGCTTCCTTTTTGAAATCCTCCTTTGTACCTAAGCCTGATATCAAAGTTTCTGCAGGACTACTTTCAGCTAAATAAAAGCACTTTTGGAGTAAAGATTCCATGTGTTCCCTGTCCCCAGCACGTGTCAGAATTTTGGTCTGCTGCACACAGGCTGCTGGTCACTCCCCTGCCACTAGGTGGCAGCTTCACTTCCCAGATGGCTACATCTGCTCCATCAACACAGTTTTACTGAAGACCGTTTTTCTTCCCAGGCCTTTGCTGGCCTGAACTACGGGGGCTGCGGGGAAAGGGGAACACGTGAAATGGCAGAGCAGGAAGGATTTTAAGACACAGCGTCAGTGCTAAAAGAAATCTCAGGCAAAACAGTGCCAGTGCCGGAAGAGAGCTCAGAGAGGACTTAAGCTTGGTCCACAGATCCCCAAGGAGTCCCTGGATAGATTTCTGGGGGTCCATGAGTTTGGATGGGTTAGGGGGAAGTGTGACATCTTTGTTTTCACTGACCTCTAACGGAAACTTAGTGTTTCCTTCAGTTATTTAAAAACACCGTTCTGAGAAGGGTCCACAGGCTTCCCCAGATCACCCAAGGAGCTGACACAAAAAAGTTAAGAATCCGGGCCTAGAAGATGTTCGGTCCAATCTCCTTATTTGACAGATGGGGAAACTGAGGGGGCCCAAATCAAACTGGTGTTGGAACAAGGACGAGAACCGATATTTCCATTTCCCAGTCTTGTTCTTTTCACTGTGCCGTGCTTCTCCGTTTTTGTGGACCTTCGGATCTAGTTACAGAACACAGGTGACACTGAATAGCAAAAGACATTTTATCGTTTGGATTTTAAGAGAGTTTGGGGAAAGCTTCCTGTAGAAGGTGGGATTTTAGTTGAGCCTTAAAGGAAGCCGGAGAGATCAGTAGTCAGAGGAAGGGGAGTGTTCCAGGCACAGGAGCCAGAAAATGCCACGAGCCAAGAGATGTTCTTGTTCTTGGAACAGCCAGGAAGCCATCGTCCCTGGATTGAAGAGTACGTAGTAGGGAGTAGGGTAGAAGAAAAGTGGAAAGGCAGGAGAGGACTGGGTTATAAAGGGCTTTGAATGTCAGATAGAGCACATACCTGGCAAAGGTTATGGCTGTTGCAGAGATGTCCTGGCTTCCCAAGTAGTGCTGGTCATCTGGAAGTTTTGTTGCAGCTTGTACCACTTCTCGGGGAAGTAAGAGCTTCCGTTTACTCTGTACTGTGGTTTAGGATGTTGTTTAATTCCTTCCAGGCTTATAAGGAGCCCCTTAACTTTGATGAATCAGGATTTCTGGAGTGAAGCTCTGCCCACCCCATCTAGACCATTCATCATCATCATTATCATCATATTTATTTATTTTCAGACTGAATCTCCCTATCTAAGCCAGGCTGGAAGTGTAGCAGCCGCTCACAGACCCAGCACTATTGGTAGTCACAGGAGAGTTGACCATCAGTTCCATTTCTGCCCTGGGCCAATTCAGGCCCGATCAGGTTAACTTGCACAGCTCAGAACATCCAAGGTCAGCTCCCAGCCACAGCCTTCCCAGTAGCAAGAATTACAGGCATATGCCATCACACCCAGCAACTGCTCATTTTATGGACTTCAACCTTTACTAGAGACCTAATCCTTGTAAGTAGGCCCAAGGGAGACCCTCGATAAGTTGATTAAGTGAGTGTCAGCTGACCTTGAGTCATCAGCCAGGCTGACCAGGGACAACTGCTCTGATTCTCTAGGGGAGGCAGGGTCTAGGTCAATCTAAGGTTGGACTTTAATTAGGCCAATTTCCAGAGGGAGGCTTCTCTAAGGAAAAGTCAGCCGGGGTCCAGCTTTCAACTTTGTTATCCCATTCTGCTATTTATACCCATCACTGATGGAAAGTTTTGTCTTTAATTGAAAATCCAAGCTTGGCGGAAAGAACTATCTTTAACTGAAACATTTCTTATACTTTAGGTTTTTTTAATTTTTTAAATTAATTTTATTAATTGTCATGTAATTAATTTTTTTTTTACTTTTTCCCCACTTAATAGTATTTAACTACTCCCCCAATTACATGTAAAGATAGTTTTTCAACATTCACTTTTATAAGGTTTTGAGTTCCAAATTTTTTTCTCCCTCCCCTCTCCCCTCCCCAAGACAACATGCAATCTGATATAGGCTATACAGGTACAATCATATTAAACATGTTTCTAGAAAGAAAAACAAAGAAGAGAAAATAGTATGCTTCAATCTACATTCAGACTCAGTAGTTCTTCCTCGATGTGGATATAGCATTTTCCACCATGAGTCTTTTGGAACTGTCTTGGATCATTGTGTTGCTGAGAAGAGCTAAGTCTGTCAAAGCTGGTCATCATATAATGTTGCTGTTACTGTGTACAATGTTCTCCTGTTTCTGCTCACTTTACTCAGCATCAGTTCATGCAAGTCTTTTCAGGTTTTTCTGAAATCCACCTGCTCACCATTTCTTATAGAACAATATTGTTCTATTTGCTCTTATAGAACAATAGAACAATGTATTCCATTCCATTCACATAACACAACTTGTTCAGCCATTCTCCAGTTGATGGGCATTCTCTCAATTTACTATTCTTTGACATCACAAAAAGAGCTGCCATAAATATTTTTGTACATGTGGATCCCTTTCCCTTTCTTATTATCTCTTTCAGATACAGACCTTGTAGTGATATTGCTGGATCAAAAGGTATGCACAGTGTTATAGCCGTTTGGGCATAGTTCCAAATTGCTCTCTAGAATGGTTGGATCAGTTCACAACTCCACCAACGATGCATTCATGTTCCAGTTTTCCCATATCTCCAACATTTATCGTTTACCTGTTTTATCGTATTAGCCAATCTGATAGGTATGAGGTGGTACCTCAGAGTTGTTTTAATTTGCATTTCTCTAATCAATATATACTTTAGTTTTAGAACCTGTGATTTTAGCAGTCTGGGTGTTACTAAGGCCAAATTTCTAATAATGAGTCTCCCTACACTTAACTAGCTGCATGTTCTTGTCCAGACTTTGCGCTCCACCAAGCCTTTGACAATCCAGAGTCATCTCTATGCCACATTGAAGCATTGGAGGAGGACTTGCTTGAGAGGAGAAAACCTTTCCCACTTGAATATATAAGCCAGCACTAATCCCAGGAGCACCTCCCAAGGGAACTCATAGTCAAGCTGAGCCAAGATTAACTTGTGGCTGAGATTAAAAATTATATATATGTACACATGCATATGTATATGACTGGCCATGCATAGAATTAGCCCGTGAGTTAACCCTCCAGAAAATCAGTTAAATTTGGTCTAAGTCTGAGCCACATATGTCTCAGACAGTCAGAAGTCTATTATAAAAAGAAAAGGACACTTAGCTAGTGAAATGAAGGCAGCTATTCACAAAGGCTAGGCAGCAGAACAGTCTGAGGAACAAGAAAGCAATTATTTTTAGACTCTCCCCCCCAAAAGGTCTCTCCATTCCTGAAGCCCCCTTCTCAAAGTTGTGCATTCCTCTGGGAAGCTTCATTTTGGAGCAAGTGCCCAAGCTTGCCATGCTCACCCTCTCACTCCTCTTTTGGCTCTGCTTTTGACTCTGCAGACCTCTCCACCATGCTCCTGCTTTGGCATTTTCTCCTCTCCTGCTTTTCAGCAATCTTTTTCATGTTGTCTTCCCCTGTTAGAACGTAAGCTCCTTAAGGGCAGAGACTATCTTTTTGCTTGGATTTGTAGTACCATGGTTTAGCACAGTGCGTGGCACATAAGTGCTTCATAAATCCTGTTGATTTGTTAACTGCCTGGCTTAACTGGTCAATGAAACATTACCATATATGTAGCCTATTGCAAGGATACGTGGCCCCTGCCATTCTGGAGAAAGCTGTTAACAAATGCTTGTTGACGGATGGGTAGGATTTAGTTAAGTGGACAGCATGGCAAAGGAGACAAGCTAACCATAGTCCTGGGAGTAGGGTAGACTCAAGGCAGTCTGGGAAGGCTTTGAAGATTGCTTCCCTTGTGTGTTACCGGCCTTTCATGGCAATGTACCTCTCCCCGAAATACATTTCTGTAGCTCTTCGCAGTTTATAAAATATTTTTCTCACATGACCCCTGAAGTTAGATAATCAACAACCCTAATCCCTATTTTTATAGAGGATACAAATTCTAATCTATCAATGAGCATTTTTAAAGAACCTACTATGTGCCAGGCACCGTGGATATAAAATAAAAAATTAAACCGTCCCAGCCCATTCAAGGAATTTACATTCTTTCAGGGAAGATGACATTAACTTAGAAGTATAAACATAGAAGAAATGTGAGGTAATGTAATGGGGTTTGAGAATGGTACTAGCTGCTGGGGAATGAAGAAAAGGTTTAATGAAGAAGGTAGCCCCTGAGATGAGTTTTGAAAGAAATAAGGGTTTCTAAGAGGAATAGATGAGAGCAGGCCATTCCAGCCACAGGGGCCACCAGTGAAAGGGCACCGAGGGGAGATGAAGAACTGTGTGTGTGGCACAGTAAAAAGGCCAGTTTGGCTGAACCATAGAGTGCATGAAGGGGGGTAAAGTGTAGTAAGATTAGAAAGAAAGGTTCTGGCCAGGTTGGGGCAGGGGAAGAGGCAAGCTTATCAGTTCTTCCATTCTGGTCAGCATCAGAAGAGCAATACCACTTGTCACTGCTTCCACCTTTTAAAGGATTAAATGGTCATTAAAGAACATCTCAAATTTATCCGTTATTCTGCTTTGGGTAAAAAAAAAAAGTAAAGCAGAAGATGTCTGGGTTGTTGAAGTCCCCCTTTGCTGCTACAGCATGCTTGCATCATAGATTTGTGATCTCTTTTCCAAATTCCTCACCAAATAGTGATAATAATAATAATAGACATTCATATAGGGTTTACTACATGCTACTACTACTTTACCATTATTATTTCATTTGACCCCCACAACAACCCTGGTGGGTAGGTACTGTTCTTATCCCCATTTTACAGATGAAGAAACTTAAGACAAACAGAGGTTACATGACTTGCCCAGGGTCACTGAGCTAGTAAATGTCTAAGACTGGATTTGAACTCAGCCAAAAACCAGGTGAAAGTTATCTTAGAGGTCATCTGATCCACCCATACATGCAAGAATCCTAGATACTTGCAATAAAGAAGTCACTACTCCTCCTTCCACTTTGGGGTGGGTTCTAATCTATGGTCAGGGCACATAGTAGGTACTAAATGGAGCTAGCTGACTGGCTAGTTGTGACCAACTCTGTCCTTACATTAAGCCAATTCGTGCTTCTTCACAACCTCCACCCACTGCTCCTATTTCTCTGCCTTTGGGGCCAAGCTGAACCTTTTTCCTCTTGACAATCCTTCGAAGTACTAAAGCTAGAAAATACCTCCAAGACTCACATCCCTAATTCCTTCAACTGAGTTGAATTTTCAATTTTTTTTTTCGTGAGGCAATTGGGGTTAAGTGACTTGCCCCGAGTCACACACAGCTAGTAAGTGCTATGTGTCTGAGGCTGGATTTGAACTCAGGTTCTCCTGACTCCAGGGCCAGTATTTTATCCACTGTGCCACCTCGCTACCCCAAACTGATTTACTTTAGCATGGCATGTTCTCTCACCGTCATGGCGGCCCTCTTTTGGATGTTCTCTGTCTTGTCTCCATCTTTCCTAAAATACTCCAGGGACTGAATACAGTACCCCAAGATGTGGCCTGGTGATGAGAGAGAAGAATAAAATTATTATTTCCTTTGTTCTAGGTACCAGGCATTTTCTGATGCAACCTAGGATGTCATTAGCTTTTTTTTTTTTAATTGAAAGAAAGAATTTTTTTTTTCATCTTTTTTTTTCATTAGCTTTTTTTAGGCTGCCATGTGACACCATTAACTTAGATTGAGCTGGAAGTCCACTAAAAACCCCCGTGTTTTTATCAGACAAATCATAGCCTAGCGGCTCCTCCCCCAACTTTATTTGTGGACTTTACATCTTCCTCCATCACATTTCATCTTCTCCTCTGCCCATCATTCTATCCAGCTGGATCTAGATCATTTGGGTCTAGACTCTACTGTCCAACATGTTCACTGGGCTCCAAAATTTAGCAGGCAGCCAGGTGGCACAGTGGATAGAGCTCCGGCCCTGGAGTCAGGAGGACCTGAGTTCAAATCCGCCTCAGACACTTGACATTTACTAGCTGTGTGACCCTGGGCAAGTCACTTAACCCCATTACCTAGCCAAAGTAATAATAGTAATAATAATATAAAAAAATAAAAATGTGCAGACTTGGGGCAGCTAGGTGGCACAATGGATAGAGCTCCAGCCTTGAAGTCAGGAGGACCTGAGTTCAAATCCAATCTCAGACACTTGACACTTACTAGCTGTGTGACCCTGGGGAAAGTCACTTAACCCCATTGCCTTATCAAAAAGCAAAAAAAAAAAAAATTCACGGCTAATTGGACAAATTCATTGATAAGAAAGGCAAATAGCACAGGAAAAAGGAATCTCTAGTAGACTCCTCCCCCTTCTATTGACCCATTAATGACTACTCTGGCTATAGCCATCCAACCAGTTCCAAATGCTCCTACCATCCTATCATCTATCCTCTTTCTCACCATCTTATTCATTAACACTCCACGAGAGACTTTGTCCAAAGATTTACTGAAAGCAAAGTATACTGTGTCTGTAGCATTCCGCTAATCTACCACTCTACCTTTTCAAGAAAGAAAATGAAATTAGTCTACCATTATTTGTTTTTGATAAAGCCACGTTGGCTTTTGGTGATCATTGCTTCTCTTTCTAACACTCCCAAGGTTTGGGGTTTTGATGGCTCAGAGTGAATACAAATAGCAGTCGGTTTCTGTTCTGGCCAGAAACTCTGAAGGTCTTCCCTCCCAGATTGATTCTTTCAGGAAGGCAAACTTGGCCATCTTTTGTTTCAGTTCTTACCTAGCCTTTAATCACTGAATGGGGTGTTGCCTCGGACAAACTGAGACCTGGGAAAGTCCTTAGCTTAAAAAGGCCAAGGTCTCCCAGTGCACACTGGGAC